CGTAGGGTTGAGATGAGGAGTTGATGTCCGAGTGGATCGAGGTCACGATAGCTCAGGTGGTAGAGCAGCGGCGTATCTAGCCGAAGGTCGTGGGTTCGAATCCCTCTCGTGCCATTAACTTTTTTTCATCTCAACTAAAACCTTAATTAATTGTCATGTATTAATTGGTCAAGCGGACCATGAAAGTAGTGAATTAATTAATAAAAACCAAACTTTTTGGAGAAAAAAAATTGCTTTTCCTCTTAATAAACCAAGGAGTATCTAATCACACTTGTGGAATTTCCATAATAAATTGCATCTGAGATTACTGAGTAAAATGGTATGAAGCCAAACTTGCTTGGATTGAAAAATAAAATAAGATTGATATGACGAATATGATTTATTATTTATATTTAGGCCTATAGTTTCAATTGCGCTTCAATACATTTTTCACAAATTGATTTAACTTTGTTAGTTGATATACTTTACGTTACATTGAAAAAAAAGGAAACAAAAATCGATGGACTGTAGAAATTTCAGAAGATCGTTATGAACTTATGCACCAGAGTCTCCTCGTCAGAGAGGCCATCCCTCCCAGCTTTTGACATTGGTAGGTGGTTCCAAATTTTTTTAATCCACAATTACAGAAATGGTTATCAATGAATTCATAATTTACACTTTGTTCTAATCTCAGCATTGAATTGTCATTCCCAATCGTGAACACGTGATTGGAAAATACATTTTTGTCCCAGAGCCATAAGAGGTGTTTGACCATTTGTATTCTTGTTGTTTCTTATTTATTGTTTTTTTTTTACAAAATCAGACTTGCTTGCAAGAGGGTACCAAATTTAAGCCTGCACTGATCTCGTAGCAAAACTAGCCACTGGTTCATTTTCCTAGAATTGGTAGAATCCACTTTAACTCAGTCCAGCTTGACAGGAAAATGAAAGCATCCATACTATTTTTCTTATTGTTTCGTCTTTCCTGTTATGAGTTTTATGCTTTAATCTGATCTTCAGGCTAACCTCATCACCATTCTTTTTGTTGGCTTGTAATTCTGTATGATTTATTGTAATAACGACCCATTTAGTGTCTTCTGAATTGTTAACACTCAGCCTGGTTAATGCTGCACCAGGGGTTCAAATTGTGCAATTACACTTGTGCTGTGCACTTCTTTTTGTTTATTTGTCTTTTCTGCATGACAAATATATAAAAATGTTAATATCGACCGCTACAACTTGTTAATATCACAAATTTTGACCGTATCCTTTATTATATTGTGTATTATTACGTATAATTATTTGTCTGAATATTTTTTTTTTTTTTATTGGGAGAAAGAAAAGATCAGACAAAGTGATGTAAATCTCAAATCACTCATTACAGTGATTAATTTAATAATTAGAGATTAAATAAGTCTGCTTTTTCATCTTATGCTTGATTTTCTCATAGTTAAACCTTTTTAGCAGTTTTCTATTTTAAGTATAGAAGGAATCAGTTTTGGGACTTCAATTTGAAACTATGTAAAAAAATTAATAACTCACAATTAATAATAATAATAATAATAGGTAAAAATATGGGTATGAAAGAATGGCATAAGCAGAAATAATTTGCTTTACTTCATGATTTATCTTATTTGATTAAATATACAGTGTGAGGATAACTTCTGTCCTTATTTTTTTCTTTTTTTTATTAAGGTGTGTTTTTAACCCCGAGACAAATAAACTTATTTTTATCTAGGTTCATGAACAAAAATGTTTCCAGGATAGTGAAATAAAAATAGGTGCTGAATTCAGCGGTGCAAACTGTTTTTCATTTGGAGTAACCGTTCTCAAGTTATTCCCAAAAAACTATCCAAACGTTGTTTTTTGGAAAATCAAAATCTTCAACTTCTTCATTCAAGAACCAATATATTTATTTATCATTTTAATTGAGAGTAAAGCAATCCATTAAGCTTCATTGCTCTACCAACTTTTCTCAAGGGCTAGTCCTTGTCGAGCAGATCACGGTGCCATCTTTAGTCGTCTGACGGGGTTGTAGGGATGGGTGCATCCGATATGCTTTAATACTCTGCTTGAGGAGTTTGAAGATATCAGGCCACAATAAATGTGATGGGTGCATTATGTTGGACACAGATTGGGCTAGTGCGTAGGGGTGAGGGAAGAGTTTATTGTGGGCCATGGACAATTTGTTGGTGATTAGTTTATCTATGAAAGGTATTTTGAGGTCATTGTGAAGGATGGTATTGGAGCTGTAATAGGGAGTATGTATCAGAGTATGTATGATCATACAATAATTATACTGATTACAGTGGTATAATAAACTAAACTTCAGCAGTAAAATGATAGGGCTTCTTTCCCATTTTTTACCTGTTGCTATAAAACTATCCGATCATTATTATACTGAATGAAACATTATAATGAACTTATTATATTTACCAGAGTGAAGTTATGTATTATTACCTTTTTCCGTATGAAATTAAATAAAACATTGGGGTATTTTTTCTTACCTCTTTTTTTTAAAGATCAATATTTGTTCAATCGACCACATTTTTAAGGATTTTTTTCAATTTTTATCAGTTGAAACCAATAAAGATATAATACCAGGCAAAACCTCTAATCTTAATAATACTTTTTTTCTCACTGTTTTAGATGGCATGAAGATTATTATTTTTTATAGTTTATATTTGAATCTAATACTTTTTTTTAATTCCCTCCTGAGCACTGCAGCTGAGCTGTGCAGCTTATTGTACTTTATCCCTGGCTCCATATTTTGGGGGAGGGCTCGCAACACAAATGTGAACTTGGGCCCCCGTTGTACTGGTGTTCTTCCAACGAAGAAACTCATTTTTCAAGGGGGTTGGGACCAAATTCAGGGTTGCTGAGATCCGATCCTGCCCATTCCATCGATGAGTGCCGTGTCAATTTCTTTCAATTGCGGCCACCGGTCCCCTTAGGCGTCAGAAAAAGTCCAGAGGCGACGGTGGGGATCGAACCCACGACTGCGGGATCTACTAGCCGAGAGTCTGACGCCTTAACCACTCGGCTACTCCGGTCCCCCTCTTGTGGCTTTGCCTTGATCAATGCATTTTTGAAAAATATTTATTAGATAATTTTAAATCTTTCTTTCATGTCACATTGTTCTAAACACGTACAAATATTGAGTAACTTAAACTAAATAACTACTAAGACTTTACATAAAAAGAATAATTAAATGAAATAATTAATATGGTCAATTAGACCAATAAACATAAATAGGTCAATATAATAAGTAAAGAAGTAATCACTTCAGTAACAGCTTGCCGTGGCCATTTTCATAAGTCGCTGAGAAGTAAATCCTGATTACGCGACATTTGAAAAATGGCAAAAAGAGGTAAAATGCAAAAGGTTGTTGGTTGAGATAGGGAGTTTTGGTGTCCGAGTGGATCAAAGTCACTATAGTTCAAGTGGTTAGAGCATCAGTGTATTAAGTGGTCATGGGTTCGAATCCCGCTCATGACACTAACTTTTTCATTTCAACCAAGACCTTACATAAAAAGAATAATTAATTGAAATAATTAATATGGTCACTTATACCACCAAACATAAATGGATTAATAAATAACAACTGTTGTACATTATGTCCAATTGGACACTGCAGACAAGTGGCAAAAAATATACAACATTCATCCATTTGGCATGGTACATATGTGAAAATTTACAATGTTTTAAGTTTTATTTGTACAGAAATTACCATTAATATTAATTATTAATGATATGTTAAAATAGTTGTGTAGAAAAAAAATCTAATACCAGTTTTTATTTATTTGATAATTGATTGACTTGTACCATAGTATGCTGGGTAATCAAAAGGTGGATGAGGTGGCTAAGGCCAGGACATTCCAACCTCTGAACTTAACCTCAGCAATCCAGCCCCCGTGGCGCTTAAGATTAAAAAAACCCATGATTAATAGAAAATGACAGTGTCGGTGTGAGAGCTTTCTCTATTAAGACTTGCATGGTCCTCAGAGGAGCTAATTCATAGGAAAAACGTGTGTGAATTGTTTTATAGTTTTTGAAATATATTTTAAAGTTATCTGAAGAGAGAAATGTGATTAATTTATGTGATATGGATATGTATATTGGTCTGTCTGTATTTGATGTAGTGAGTGTTGAGTTGTAGTTGATTATTCTGCTGATTATGCACATAATAAATTCATTTTTTCACATCCTAAATTTATTTATATAATTTAAACAATGCTTATAAATCCCCGGCTCTGAAGATGATCTCAGTAAAGATCGAAAAGTTGGCACGATAAAGCAAATGTTTTTCTAAATCTACATCACACCAGACAGCATCTCACGATTTCCAAATAATCACTAATGGTCAATAAACACACAATTGAATTAAAGGGTACAATTCCTTGGTTCTATATAGAGAGCAAGTTCTATATAGGAATGCCGATATGAGAATTATGCTTGAGCAGCAAGAATCTGGGGCCCCTCTTCCAATTCTTGGAGGAAACAGGATCGTTTATTGTTTAGTAATGTTTGTTGTGTCGCTAGCATGTGTTGAATGTATTTATGAATGAGTGAATGTATTTATTAGCATGAATGTGTAGTGTTGTTGGAGGATTATCGAGTACTCCACTGCCCTAATTGTGTTAATGGTATGTAAATAAGAAAGAATCTATTTAAGAGTGAGTGAGGGTGTGAATGGATTTAGGAACTGATTGCATTTGGGCGTGAAATGACCAGCTGTAGATAGCTCCCAGAGCTCATCCTCGGCCATTGGGTGGTAAAGACCGAGGTCTGATCCCAGGATGGTTGTTTCTCAAGACCTAGCAATTTATTGTAAATTATAAAAGCTGGAATTGTCGGTATACCGGAAAAAGTGTTATGCTCAACTCTGTGCATGTGGGTACTCGTAGAACATATAGATTGTATGATTTTATTTTTTTTTAAACATTTATGACTATTTTAAAACAAAATCGATTTCTTAAATTAAAGCTTCACTACAAATGAACGGTAACAATATTCAAATAGTTATTTACAGATTTTTTAAAATGACGTGGCAAGGTGCCAGGAAAGGTGTGCAGGCACCGATAAAAGGGAGAGACATGCCAAATGACACCGGTGCAATCACACCTGGGAAGTTGGCAGGTATGAGTAGTTGAATTACAATTTGGTTCTTAAAAACATGTATAATTTAATTAATTTTTTTAAATGTATTTCATTTCAGATGAATCAAAACTTGGCAACCTTAATCAGTTGTTAGCGACAAACATTAGCATGGGAAAGGCCTCGTGCTGTGTTCCTTTAAAGAAACGTTACAGAGAAGGATGGACTCCCAATGGCTACCCTCAAAATGTTATCCCTGAGGTAATAACAATTAATCAATGTTATACATAAAATTATCTACAATATGTTTACTTAATAGATAAAATACGAAAAGGAAGAGGATAACTCCGAAGGGGACGGACACAATGAAGATTCTAAGACTGAATTTTGCGAAAATAATAACAACATAACTAATGTCAATTGTGACACTGCCATGATTCCATTGAAAAGGGGGACGAGGAAACGGAAGGGTCCGCCCTGCGAGGAGAAAGAGATTAAGGACCGAGCCTGCAAGGGAAAAAGGTACCTTGAGTTCATGCGGAATAAAACTGAAAATATTTCTGTTCAATATTTTAACATTAAGTAAGTTAATTAGTGGCGCTTAAAGGCCTATTGGGGAACCTGGCAGAATAATTTTCCTTTACTGTTCATAGGGCTACACCAAAAAAGAAACTTTCAAAGGTCCAGTTGATGAAAAAGAAACTCCGTTCGAAATATTGTTCACAGAAACCGCAGAAAAAAGGTAATTTTAATAGTTAAAATGTTTTATCTTTTAAAGCAAACAGCTTTTCTTTAGTTTTTTTATTATTATTATCAAATGGCATAAAAAATTTCTTAAGTTTACATAAATCGTACTTTACATTTATATTTCTAAAGCACAAAATTGATAATAAAGATCTTAATTTTCCAATAATCAATTTTTTTTCTCTTTTGAGCACTTGAACTATCTACAGTAAAATGTGAAGTGCTATTTCTGGTTGGACAAATTGTATTACAATATAATAATATACCAACCTTATTTCATGAAGAAGCTTATCATTGGAAGCTACCGACAAACCATTTATAATGATGATGATTTTTGGTTAAGAGGTAGTTTATTACGTGCACAGAATTGTTAGATTATGTTAGTTTTAAAAGTTGTATAAGGTTTATATTTTACAATTGACATTCAAGATCAATATTTTATTTTTTGAGAGACAACAGAAGGGCAAAATAATGCGCAATAAATTCTATTATATCAGTTATTTAGTTTTGCATTATTATTCTGTTAAAGTAGATTGTATATTTATTTTATTATTATTATTATTTATTTATTTTTTGAGAGAGAGAGATAGATAGAGAGTGTGGAGAGGAGAGAGAAAGTGAGGGGGAGTGAGAGAGAGAGAGAGGGGATAGTGTGAGAGAGAGAGAGAGAGAGAGAGAGAGAGAGAGAGAGAGAGAGAGAGAGAGAGAGAGAGAGAGAGAGGGAGAGAGAGAGAGAGTGAGGGAGCGAGAGAGAGGGGGCGTAAGAGAGAGTGATGGGGGGAGAGAGGAGAGAAGAGAAGATAAGGGAAGGCGGGAGAAGAGAGAGAGAGGGAGAGAGAGAGAGAGTGAGAGAGAGAGAGAGTGAGAGAGAAAGGAGAGAGTGGGAAAGAGAGAGAGAAAGGAGAGAGTGGGAAAGAGAGGAGAGTGAGAAGAGAATGGGTGAGTGGGAGAAGGAGAGGGAAACAGCGAGTGAGGGGGTGAAGGGGAGAGGGAAAAAGAAAGAGGGAGTGCGAGGAAGGGGAGAGAGAGAGAGAGAGTGTAAGAGAGTGATGGAGAGGGTGGTAAAGGGTGAAAGAGTGGCAGAGTGAGAGAGAGTTGGTGAGGGAGGGGAGAGGGAGATAAAGAGAGAGTGAGAGAGAACATTCATTTCCATTTTTTGTTTAATAATTATTATTTTCACTGTAAAACATAATGAAACATAACATAAACAAATGTCAGTATTTAACTTTCATTTTAGTCAGATATTTATTGCGATCTATTTTAACTTTTTTTTTTTTTAATTGTGTCTAGAATCTTCCAAAGCTTCCAAAGACTCAAAATATGGGCAAGAGGACAACTTGAATCTCCTCGCGGACCTAGTGGAGACTGCTTTGAAGAATGACAAAAAGGTTTAATTGTTCTGAACGATTGAACTCTTTCTATGAAAATGTGTTCATTTTGTTGAAAAAAGAAAGACTTTTTGGGCACCCGGCCGAAAATTTGGTCATGTAGAAAGTTGGAATCGTCGAATTCATTGTAAACCAAAAGACTTATTTTTTTTCCTTTCATTATAAATTGTTATTACACAAAAATAAAAATAAAAATTATTGAGTAAGTCCCTGATCTCTTTAATGTTGTTTTCTGTGAAAATCATTGTTCTTGCTCCAGATTTGTACTACTTGTCCGGAATTGTTCAGTATTAATAGCCCTTATTAATGATTAGAGTTTTCTTAAATAAAGTAAAAATATTTATCCATTGTTTTTTCTATAAAAATGAAATATTTAGATCCAGTATTACAATTTTTCTTTTCTATTTTTTAAATTTGTATAAAAACATATTACGTATATTTTTTTATAAGTAATATGCTTTTATCCCAATGATATAAAATACTGCAGCTCTGGGCATTTTAAATAGCAATAGGATTTTCATATTTTGCACAATGAAAGTCAAACAAATGTGCAACATAAGAAGCAACTTTCCTCACCAAATTAGTACTTGCTTCATGTATTTTTTAATAAGTATAAGTACCTTAGGAAATTGTGTGCTGTGTTAATGTTATTCTTATTTAGAAATAATTTATTGTAGTTATTATAGTGACAAAGTGTCATTGAGATAGCTCAAGCAGTAATGATGTGATTGAAATTTTAATGCCAACATATTGTTTTTGTTGTTTTCTTTCGGTATTCGGTTGTAAAAGAACCAATTTAGCAAGATGGCGATAGCCATTCTTTGAATTTGGTATAAAAAGTCAATTGGGACCTAAAATCCATTATTTAAATTGTGCATACTTATAATACACTTTATAAAAAAGTTGATATTTTTGTAAGCCGTCGTACATATAGATAGATATTTTTATCCATAGCGTGGAATCTACAAAGAATATTTATTATAAAAAATAGATATTTTCTGTAAGTTCCAAAATGTAGAATAAAATGCAATTTATTTTGCTGAAAACACTCGTATCATTTGTTTTAATGCACCTTTATTGCGAATCAACTCAAAATTTGTAATCGAAACATTCCATTCATACATTCAATAATGTAACAATTTATATATCAAACGATGCGTGTTTAAATTAATTGTTTATAATATATATTTAATGTTAAGTAGGTTAATTAAGGAAATTGATCAGAAAATGTAAATATTTTTTAAGGAACAAACTGGCTTTGGTGTTGTTTCCGATATCTATACAATGTTGTCATAAGTGATTAATAGTTATTATTATTTTTATAAATTGTTTTCGTTAATACTGCAAATCAACAAGCTAGGATAAAGTTCCTTATTGTGCTCACGACAAAGCATTTGTACTGTACATAAACATTTTACACGTTTTTATAAAGATATAGTTGCAATTTTAGGAAATGTGTCTTGTCATAGTAACAGTTTGTTTATATGTGGTTATTTAACTAGTCTTTAATTTTTCATTTAAACAGTTTTGTGAATAAATGATTGTTTGTATTTAAAAAAAAAAATTATATCACATAAGTGTGTTAATATACATTTTTACTGTTTTTGTAATTGCAAACAAATATATTTATTTATTTGAAATTAATTTTTATATATTATTATTTTAATCTACCCCATATTTTAATCTCCTTCCAGTTTGTATGTTCCGTGTATGTCAACGTAACAGGGGCAATGAAAACTGCACTCGACCTTCTACTCTTCTACTTCTACCAGAGGGGATAATTCACAGAAACTCGTAAATGCACTGGTAGAACAAGTTAGACAAATACCGGAGGAAAAAGAAATCATGGACAATAAAAGGTGTTTTTGATAACACCTCACAAGAATCTATTGACCTTTTGACTGTCAATGTTAAAAAGCCGAATTGGAGCATGAATCAATGGCAGTAATGCGTCAAGAATGACCCAAAGGGGACTTTCACCACTTTTGTTGAGGTGGTTGATGTCCGAAGTACAGCTAAATAGGCTAGGATAGGGCTTACCGTACTAACTTAGGCTTTACCTTAGGTTATGCTAATGACCTAGTAGTAATAAAGGGCGAAATATGAAATTGTTTCATCTCAAATGCAAAGTGCCCTGAACTTGGTAGTGATAATGAGTGGGTGTCAACTTGAACAAAACTACACTAATACCGTTCACAAAGAGAAGGAAGCTTAACTTTACAGTTTCCTTTAAAAAAAAATAAAACTTTCTCCAGGGAAACAAGAATCTAGGAATAACACTAGAACAAAAGCTTACCTGGAAGAAACACAGAAAATACACAAAGCAAATAAGGCTTTTTTATTAATTTTAATCATCAACTTTATTGAGCTTATGCACAGCGCAGTTGGGATTGTATACTAAATACAATTAGTTATACACAATTTTTTTCAAAATGAAAATTTTGTGTCACAGGCGGGATTCGAACCCATGACTTTTGGCTCAATACGCCGCTGCTCTACCTCTTGAGCTACCGTGACTTCGATCGCCCATGCCACAAACTTCCCATTTCGACTCCCCATTTTATTCCAATTGTAAGCAAATTGCGGCTTCATATAGAACCACTTTTTATTAACGATTGTACTACATTAGCGGGACTGAGTACGGTTCACAGGTGTGATTCTAGATTAATACTAACTTTTTAATTATTTTTACTTATGCGTAATTATATAATTACTCAATTAATTATACACAATTTTTTTTCAAAATGAAAATTTTGTGTCAGGCGGGATTGAACCCACGACTTTCAGCTAAATGCACCGCTGCTCTACCACTTGAGCTACCGTGAATTTGATCACCCATGCCACAAACTTCCCATTTTGACTCCCCATTTTATTCCAATTATAAGCAAATCGCAGCTTCACAAAGAAACACTTTTTATTAGTGATTATACTTCATTAGCAGGACTACGATTCACAGGTGTGATTCTTGATTAATACCAACTTTTTAATTATTTTTATCAGCTTATGCTTAATTATATAATTACTCAATTAATTATACACAATTTTTTTTCTTTGTGTCAGGCGGGATCGAACCACGACTTTCAGCTAAATGCACCGCTGCTCTACCACTTGAGCTACCGTGAATTTGATCACCCATGCCACAAACTTCCCATTTCGACTCCCCATTTTATTCCAATTGTAAGCAAATTGCGGCTTCATATAGAAACACTTTTTATTAATGATTGTACTACATTAGTGGGACTGTGTACGGTTGATAGGAGTGATTCTAGATTAATACTAACTTTTTAATTATTTTTACTTATGCGTAATTATATAATTACTCAATTAATTATATACAATTTTTTTGAAATGGAAAATTTGAGTCACAGGCAGGATTTGAACCCACGACTTTTGGCTAAATGTGCTGCCTATTTTTAGCCTTCCTATTTTTATAATTTGCACTTTTTTTTGTTACAATATATTCTTCTAAACTTCCATGCATTGTTTACTTACTGAACCCTAAAGTTTCTTCGCATTTTCTCTAACTTGGGTCAGTGTTTTTTCACTGTGTTCTCAGCACTGGTCACTTTGGAAAATTATTTAAACAAAGGATGCCAGGCCACATTGAAACAAAAACCACTTCATGATTTTTTTAATAATGCAATTTAATTTTACAGTTGAACTATTTCTGCTTTTTCATTATTTTTATTATTTTCTATTCATACAATTTATGTAATAACTTGTGAAAATGCATATCAACTCAACAATTTTTTTTTCTTTCCTCTTGACAATTCAAATGATTTTTGTGATCTCTTGGGTTTCGAATAATCAAGAGTCGACTATAAAAACTTAAAACAAGTAATAAAGAAAAAAAACAGTAAATACCCAGTGGGCATTTCTCACTTAATCAGATTTACCTATACAGTGGGCCAAAGAATTTGTAATAAAACTTGGGATATAAATTAAAAAATATTGGACCTGTGTTCACATATGAACCTTAGTTTAGTGGCCAAAAATCTTAGAAAATGAGACCAAGACCAGTAAAGAAATTACAAAGCTTGGCATGTCTTAACATTACAGGCTTATGAACTTACCCTACTTCAGCAATGGAAGTGGTACTGGGAATGCCACCATTGCAAAAGTGCAACAGGCACTTATGACAAAAAAAATAAAACCCATCCTAAGAGTACATCATTACAAAATCCTAAAAAATAAATGACGGCAACAAAAATTTCTGTCAAAATGATATTAAAGAAACTTTGAAGGATCCTTCCAATTAAAGACAGCAAGAGATATCTGCAAGAATAAAAATCCTGAAACTAGTAGATGGACGATATTGTGGTGTAGAGATGGATCTAAAATGGATGTCTAAGACCCAAATTTTGACCTAGCAAAAACCACTAAGCCCCACAGCATCAATCTATACTGAAATCCATGCATTGGAACTGTGCGCACAAGAAATACTTCAAAAAGATGAACAGATATAGATGCACATTCATGCACACAGTCATGCAGCTTTGAATACGTTAAACCGTACTTTGATTCAAAGATGGTCCGGGAATGCTTAACATATCTCCATGAAAATGAAAACAGGTAATATGGGTGACATGACTCAAGGTAATTGAAGGAAATAAGGCTGGCAAACTAGGAATGGCAGAAGGTCTCATACCCATTGAACCTGGAATACAAATTTGGACACCCTAATGTGTGCTAAAAGTGGAACTGAACAAATGGATGGAGAAAGAAATTACCGCACACTATATGAAATAACCTTGTGCGAAACAAAGCTGTTTCCCGTCATCTCAACTAGAAAATCCAAAAGTTCTAAGCTACCTAAAAAGCTAAGGGCTGATGCTGAATCACATAGGCTCATGTTCCAATGTTCTACCCCTTCATGACATTATTCGCAGGTTTTACCCATTTTTTGACATGGTAACCAAATGGACATTGGCCAGTATAAAGGTCATTTGGCTTAATTCTTCTCTACTGATTGTGAGAGGTAGTTCGTTTTCTTGGTCAGTGAGGAACTTTTTGAATGTTTTGCACCTTGTGATTCATCCAGTGTGTGTTCATTTCTTTCTCCATTTATTTATTCAGTTCCACTTTTAGCATTCTTTGGGGTGTGACAATTTGTGGTTAAAGGGTGATAGGGCTGCTCCTGTTTTTTATAGTTTGCCTTCTCTTTGCTTATTTTTTAGTATTAGTAGAGCCTGAAGTGGCTGTACTGTTCTGAGCTAATACTTCGAAGTCACCAATTTGCAGTTTTGGCTCAAAGGGTGTGAGGGCTGCTCCTGCTTTTCCTAGTTATTTGCCTCCAATCTCCTCTTGTCCTTGCACCGTCAAAGTTACCTGATTTGGTACTCGCAGGTGCTGGAGATACGTTAGGCATTTCCAGAACAGCTTTAATGAGTGGGCCAATGCAGAATACTTTCTAGTCTAGTTGTGATGATTACAAGAGAAATATGGAATATCTAAAAAAAAGTCAAAAATAAATGCAAATGCAAGAAACAAGGGTAGTGTTAATATTTAAAAAGTTTTTATAGCAGGAAATTTGAAATGGTTAAATGTTAAAAACTCACTATTAAGGACACTTTGAAAATATCAGATAAATATTTGCTATCTCGAAGAGAAATTGATATTGCAATAGAAAGAAAACCGAAAAACTAAACTCAAAAAATTCATTTTTGTTAAATTTATTAGTAAGTATTGCTATCTTATATTTGTAAATGAATATTAAAAACATCTTTAAATTAAGGATCTTTACAATAAGTTTATATAACAATTATTTCCAAAGCACGTACAGTCTATAAATTTCAATGACAAAAAGTCGAAACTTACCAAATCTTTAAATTCATTTACAGCTTCGAGTAGATGGTTTCTTTACGATCTTTAGGTATCAACATAACTTTTGAAAAATAAAATTTCTTTTTAACTGCAAATATTTTTTCTTCGACATATTTAAACTTGTCCTCAATCGTTTCACCTTCTCTTTGGAGACAGACAGGTTTTTCTTCGTATAAGGACAAAAATAGCACACAAAAAATGCAAATAAACTCCTCTCTGTATCATATTTAGGTGGTTCAGCTGAACTTGTAAATTATTACTATTAATTAATAATTAAATCATTAGTTAGCCAGCATAGAAAGCACAGTTCATTAACGTAAATAAATAAACATTTTTTCCAATTTTTCGACTATGGTAATTATTTGTTTTCTTTTATTTTTTTCACATTTGTATTATGTACAAGTATGTATAGGCTACAAATAAATAAATTTAAAAAAATATATATATATTCTTTTATTTATTTTACAACTACATGCAAAATGCAACAAGCAAAAATTATATTATTTACAAAGTTATGTATATAATATATACATTTACATATACAATATTGTATGCACATATACATGTCTGGCATGATCGATTTGAACGGCCAGCTTCCAGTGAAATTGGCTGTAATTGGATTTTATGGTGTGAAGTCAACAGCAATTATCAATAATGAAGTCAATAGTTTTTTTATAGTAATACTATTGGATTTTTTTTTAAATTTTAGGATATACAATTTAAAAAAGAATTATTTTAAAAAAATGTCAAGAGCCACAATTTTTTGTTTGAACATATCAGACAATCCACTTTTGTTTCTAACATATAACTTTCCTGCGATTAAAGCTTTCAACTTACAACTTCACGAAGTAATTACTTGCTTACGTTAAGAACAATATTTTTATAAATTTTGAAATTATCACAATTATTTCGTCTAATTAAATAATACATTTTTAGAAATCGCTTTGTAACGGTTATTTGCCATTTATTTTACTTCTGACCCTCTGCAAGTGTTGCGAAAAGCTGATTAGCAATGGAATGAATAGCAGATGCACAGGGAGAATTTATCTGCATAACAAAAATTGTAAAACCTGAACGTGTTCGTCATATTTAAGTAAGTTTAGTCTGTGAATTTATTCTTTTTTTAACATTAAAAAATTTAAATTTTTCCTGTTATTTTTTATTTTTAGCGTTGATTTCTTAAAGAGAAAAGTTGATTTATGTGTTTACAACCCTCGTTGGAAAGGGTAAAAAAAAGTTCGATCTTGCTTTGGTGTTGCAGTGGTTTAAATTAGCTTTCGAAGTCCCCGACGTTCTCGGTAGAATGGGCAAAAGCGAAAAGACAAATGCATAGTCCTCGCCTCAACACGGGAAAGCGTATTAGGCAACGAACATAGTTAACATAGATTGGCCAACGTTTTCTAACTCGTATTGAACCTTGTCCCTCGTTACCTAAAGGGCACAACACAGAGCCAGGACAAAGGTCAAAGGTAAATCCCTCTTTCACACAACCCGCGTCATCATGATCATGGAACTTATTTTTTTACCCAAAGTATCCGTTAAGCCAAAGGCTTGAAATTAGGATTCAGGTTTGTATAAATCAAAAAATTCAGTTTAGATAAATGTTATTCTCTGAAGATTCATTGAAGCCTCTAATCGAAAAAAGTACACAAATTAAGCCAAAGTAATCGATAGCGAATTTCGGGAATAACGATTTACTTCGTGGTCCGATTGACCAAATAACTTCTTTCAATTAATTAATGTAAGGTATTGGTTGAAGTGAAAAAGTTAGTGTCACGAGCGGGATTCGAACCCACGACCTTCGGCTAAAAACGCCGCTGCTCTACAACTTGAGCTATCGTGGCTCGGATCCACTCGGATACCAATGTACCACCTTTTTACTATAAGGTTATAAAATGCTTTCTAAAAACAAAATTGTAAAGTTCATAACCGTATTTATCAAGAAAATCGAATTCACGTGATGGCTGGAGATATATTGCGTTTATGATTACTTAAAATTATGTCGGATCAATGAAGAAATCAAAATTTCATTATTGAAAGGTCTATCACACCCACTATTTAAGATGGAGAGAAGTCGGGTCTGATAGATTATGAGAGTTGGTTTCCTTGCCGTGCTTATAATCCTGAAACATCTCAAAATGGCGGGTAGCCAAAACAGTGAGGCTAGGAAGACCAAAACAGAAAGGATAGGCATAACACCAAGGATAGGCAGACAAAAACAACTAAGATAAGCAGACCAAAACAGAAATGAAAGACAGACAAAAATAGTAACAATAAGAAGACCAAAGTGGCAACGATACGCAAAAAATAGCAGGACAGGGAGACCAAAACAGAAAGGATAGGCATAACACCAAGGATATGTAGACAAAAACAACAAGGATAAGCAGACAAAAACAGAAATGAAAGACAGACAAAAATAGTAACAATAAGAAGACCAAAGTGGCAACGATAGGCAAAAAATAGCAGGACAGGGAGACTAAAACAGAAAAATTAGGCAGAAAAAATGCAAGGATAGGCAGACAAAAATGGGGTAAGAAGGCTTTAATAGCAGGGGTAGCCTTAACTCACACACACCCACACACACAAAAAAACATGGATGTGTATACAAAAACAGCAAGGATAGGCATACTAAACGGCAAGTGTTATCAGACTAAAATATAAAGGATAGGCAAGCCAAAACCACAAAAGTACGCGCTTAATAACAGCAAGGATAGAAGTACCAAAACATCAGGAGGTAGGCATTCAAAAACATGAAGGATGGGCAGACTAAACACCAAAGAACAAACAACAAGGATAAGCAGACTAAAAAATAACATTTGGCAAGCTAAAACAACAGAAAAGGCAGACAAAACTGCAAGGATAGGAAAGCACAGACTGCGGGGCAATCAGCCTTTAACAGCAGGGAAGTTGTAGAAGAAAACAGCAAGGATAAGCAGACTACAATATCAAGGAACACCAAAAACACAAGGGTTATCAGATTCAAATAAGCACAACATAAATAGTTTATACGAAAATTAAGTACATTTCTACAATGAAGACGGACGGAGAGAAGATGAATCCCCTCCCCCCACCAAATGATCTGTGCCAATCAGAGAGATAGATACAATATACATGTATCCTATACTGACTCAACACTGAAGATGGCGAAATGCCGGAATGCGCCTGACAGACCGCCCAGCGAGGATAGGCAGGATCAAAATGACCGGCAACGACCAAATTTAAGGTTTATCACTCCGTAGACCAGAAGAATCTCATGATGTAAAGCATCGTGTTAGTAATATCAGCAAAAAGGAAGCTCGACGGAGGAACTTATTATATATTTTTTTCAGTAAATTGAACTTTTACCCCAGTCGTTTTGAACCTCAACTGTTTTTGAAATAAAAAGCTAAAGAATTTGAGAAGATAACATAATAAAACTACCTAAAACGAGGTGTGGTAATAAATTGAAATAAAAAATAAAAAACCGATTTATTATTGATCATATTCTGAAAATACTTAAATTAACAACAAAAACATTAAAACAAAAACAATGTTGTGATCATTTTGGTTCAAATATTTTTTATATATATTTTTCTATGAAATAATAAATAAGGGGTAAAAAGTAGTTTCTGCAACTGAAAGATTAATTAGGGCCAGCTGAGCCTCACATGCACATAAGAATCCGTTTGAAAGTCATTTCTCATAGGTTCCATGGGAATCGGTCAGAACAAAACCAGCGGATTTCCCAGTGAATTTTCAAAGGCCACGATCCCCGTCCCTCTAATTTAAGACAGCCTTTTTCAATAACCAACGGCTCACATTGATTTTCGACCTCGGTTGTAGCTCGGTTTAAAAATGGTCAATGGAGTACGATTTGGAAAAGACTGAGAAGGAACGGAAAAAAGGAGGCGGCAGAATCGGCCGGTTGTTGTAGAAATTCGTGATCAAACCGTCCACGATGGACAATAAAGTTAAAGTTGAAGTACAAATGACAAGTGCCAAGAAAGGTAATCCGGTTTTTCTTTTGTTGTAAAAATCTCCAAAATAGACTAAGCTGAGGACCCCATACAGTGCGGAACTTAAAACAGCCGTGTAAACATGCTTAAAAAAATGAATCAATTTTGTTTTTTTAAGAAAAAAATAATTTGTTGTGAAATACTCACTATGATGACATGTACATTTTCCTTTGGGCTTTTTGGGATTCTCAGGAACAGCAAGGGCACCATGCATGTGAACGCCACCTCCTCACTGACATCGGTATTTTCCACGACAAAAAAATACATAATTGCGACACTTAACGACAAAATCTAAAAAAAAGGTTTAAAGGTAGAATGTGTGTAACTCTCGGATCCACGAACGACTTACAGCCTGCAACACCCTCAGTATGTAGTGGTACAAGTCCCAGAGAAAGAATCTAAACGAAGAGTCCTCATTGTTGGGACAGGACTTGAAACATTTACAGCCTGAGCTCTTCCAATTAATTTTTAACTTTTTAGGCATTTTTAAAACCTGTTTAGCCATTTAAAACTTTCGAAAAACAAACGGATTTTTTTGATAAATCAACTTTTTACAATTGGAAATTATATCATGTGTTGAGGGTTGGATAAAAACACGTGACAAAATAATTTCGTCCTTAATCATGGGGAACAGCAATGGATTGCTTCATTCTCGTGTCGATTTTGACGAAAGTAGATCGTCACTATTGTTCAATTTTTGAAGTGGGTGCTTAACAAAATCGCGTTCCGGTTAAGAACTAAAGAACTGAACGAGTTTCGATACAACTAACAATGTAAGAATCTGTATGTAAGAAAACAAAAGAAAATTTAAGAAAACAATGTAAGTTATCAGAAGAAGAATCAATGTAGAATAAATATAATAAAAAAAAGGTAAGAATCTATTTGATTTATTCTTCAGCTTTTCTTCAAGGTGAAGGTCATATCGACGATCAACAAAACTGCGAGAATTACACTGAACAGCGCCGTGCAGATGGAAGCATCTCTGTAATAAGACTTATATCGGGATCCGATCGCGTCCAGAAGGATCAGGACGGCTCCGATAATGTATTCAACGGCGCACACGATCAAAATGAACAGGTTCTGTTGGGGCAGAAAAAATAACGTTACAAAGATGAGGCGTAAATCGGAGGTAATTAATTCTCACGATTGGTTTTGTCAGTTCGCCCATTTTGTGTATGACCGGATCGATCCTGAACATTAGAAGCATTATCGGTCCAGTTACGCCGGTTGCAGTTAGAAAAGAAACAAGGTGCGTGCTTCCTCCTCTTTTGCCACCCCACCAAGCCGAAGAGACTGCGTGCAACCCGAAAATCATACCTGCCATTAACTAGAAAAAAATACAACCCTTAAAGAATAATTTCGAAGCCGTTTTATTTTAAATATAATAAATAATTACCATTTCTGCCATTAGTAAGAATATATTTTGTTGCTTGCCGGTTGGTTTATCAAGCGGTGCGCTTTCCTTTACTGGAGACGACATGTTGTTGTTAGCTACTTCTAACAAATATTGTAATATCAATTAGTTTTTAATAATAATAATTCATATGTATACTAAGTAAAGTCGTGGTGGCTGTGACCTGGTTAACACATTTTAATAGTTATTTTTTTATTTGGTTTTTCAAAAGAACTAAAGAACTATTTGACTACATGCCGCATCATCAAATACTTCCAAGAAGAACACATTTACTGTGTGGTTTTTGTCTACTCTGGAGGGCTAATTTTTTATGGTCTTTGCACATTAGCCAGAGATGTTGATTGATGATTCACGAACAGAGCATTTTTTTTGGGGGGGGGGAGAGAAATTCCACAGTCGACGGTGGGAATCGAACTTACGACCGAAGTGTATGACCTGAGACTGACGCTCTAACCACTCGGCTTAGAGGTCACCTTCGATTTCAATTGAACGCGTTAAAACGTCATCATTCAGTTAGGAAACGGGGAGTAAAATCTAAAGAGTGACCAATTTTTTTATTTTTGGCTTTGTGCAACCGCACAGCAGCCATGCCGATCAGTTTAACTCATTAACTTTTAATTTTTTGTTTTGATTATAATAGTTTAGTGTGTATAATCTTTCATCGGCCTTATCAATCTCTGTAAACGTTTTCTTGTGATTAATCACTGGCCTACAGGTAGTTGGTTATTGGCCGCGATGTGGTATCTATTTATAAGGGTCACCTATTATCATCCTTTTCGACTTTTACGAGTGGTAAGACATCTGTTATAGTTCTTAAGATGAAACTTAGTTTCTTATCTACAAGTAGACCCACAAAATTGACATAAGTACAGTTTGGGTGTATCCATCATAACTGAGGGAGGATATTGACTATCTCGCTAGATATCTATCTACTGTTTGGTTTCATAATCTCCGTTTTATGTCGAATTATACGAGTGGTATGTCCAAATCTTTTGTGTAATATTTTGTCGCGGACTGGTCATAACACGTCACACTTCTTAAGGCCCTGCTTTGGATGTTTCTTATCTACGAGCAGATATCAAATTTGAGATGCACAGGTATTCGGCGTATCACTTCCAAGTAGATTAGCCATTTTTAAGTGAAATGAAATATTTATCGCGGATTTTGCCTTCGATAAGAATTTTACACGATTGGTGTCGGTAATTTTTGTTGAATGACTTTAGTATTTTATGCCCAGGTCAGTATTTCAACGAGTATTATCCGAGGTTTTTCTCGTACTAATTTAGAAATATATCTCATCTATATTTATTGGTCACATTCCTCTTTAATATAAATTTCAATAAGTTGTACTCATTTCTTCAATTTCTGCACCAATTTTCTGAGTTTGCAGTGCTTAGATGCCTTGCTCAGTATTCGTCAAATAGTGCATGTTAACTAACATAGCCGGCTAGTCAACTGAATATTTACTTTATAACAATTGTGGAATTGAAGTTTAAAAAGGATCTCAATATAGTACCATTTGGTACTTTCTTGAGAAAAATAAGCATTTACCTTTTTTTCTGTCTCTGTTGCTTTGGCCACCTTTTTTCATTTTAACAGATTTTGAAATTTCTCTTTCAACGAAAATTTAAAATAATAAAAGAAGGTTAGAAAAATCAAAAATGACTAAAATTTTAGGTGTTATTAAAACATCACAACTAAAAGGTCTTTGACAAAAATTTTAATGAATTTAACTTAGAAAATTCCAGATGATTTCACTTCACATGGGAGTTTAATTTAAATTATCGTTTTCCAAAATCTGGTTTCAAAATTCATAATTTCTTCTATTCTCTTTGGAATTTTTCTTCTCTTCCTGAATTTCAGTGATTAGTATGAGACAAAGGAACATGGTTTATTTGAAAATGGCCGAAGTGGTAGATAGAAGGGGAGTCGTAAAACAATTTCAGTCAACTCATACAGTATGCACATTCTAGTTCCTCGGGGTAGCCGTTTTTAGCTTGCACGCAGCCTCGATTTGGTGGGGCCACCACAAGCGAAACGCGAGGGGAAGTCACGTTGCAATAGCAACAGGGATTTGCAGTCCGATGGTCCCGACGCTCTTCAGAGCCGAGCCAGCTCTTTACGGTTTCAACGATTTGCCGAAAACGATAGTGAGTCCTTCCGTTATAATCCGTCAAAAGGTTCCAAATCAAATTTTATTGACAGGAAATTTTCATTATCCTGTACTGCATGGTGTCCTATATGACTGGTGCCTCATTGATCCTGCTTGAAGTCCTTGAAACCCGTAGCAGAACGTCTTTCAGAAACGCTGCGCTCTTTACGGACATCTTTTCTATAGCTCTGGCCGTCATATTTTGCATGGACCTTATTGCAACTATGAAAAAATAGACTTTTTTTAAGTTGATTTAACGTGTTTCATAAAAAATTAGAACTGACACGAGAGGTTATCAAAAATTAAATTTTTACACTGTGTAAGTTTGCAAAGCCAATATTTCCTCTTTAAAGGCTAGTATACACCGAAACTTGTTTGTAGCGCGTCACTGTTATGAGTCTACTCAAATCTGCATGTCTAGATGTGTCTAAATCACAGTATACTGCTATACTGACGGCTCCCAAACCGACAAGGGTACGGGAGCTGGGGTCATTGGGATGAACCCCAAGACCGCTGGCGGTAAACCTAGGCAAGTATGCTACAGTTTCCCAGTCTGAAATCATAGCGATCGAACAATGTGCCAGAGAAATAAAAAGGCTAGGAATACATTCCCGGAAGATAGCCATTTTCTCTGACAGTCAGGTAGCTCTCAGGGCCTTAGCCTCATGCCAGGCGAAGGCAAAGAGTGTTTGAAATTGCATGGAGGTCCTGACGGAAGTCAGCGACACTAACGACCATAGCATGGGTCCCTGCATATTCGGGGCATACAGGCAACGAAAATGTTGACATAATGGCCATAAAGGGAGCCAACATGGACTTTATGGGCCCAGAACCCTACTTCGGCCTAGCAGCCTGCCAGAAAAGTGGATACATCTTAAAATGGATCCTTAATGAGTCCAAAACTTGGTGGAACAATACCACAGGTATGAGGCACGCGAAGAGAATCGTAGAAGGACCATCCAAAATACTTACAAAAGAACTACTGGAAGGCAACCGCAACCGAACCAGGATTCTGGATGGACTCCTGACGGGGCACTGCCACTTACGAAAGCACATGCACCGGATAGGAGTACAGTCAGAAAAAACACTGTGCAGATACTGCCAGGAAGAGGAGGAGACCACATAGCACATTTTATGTTTCTGTGAAGGTCTATGGAGGTGCAGGTTCTTGCAACTAGGACAAGAAAAACCACAAGCAAGATCCTACACCAAGGAACCGCTGGCAAAGCTGTGGAGGCTGGTTAATAGTCTGAAGCCGAGAAGCTGGCCAGTGAGTTATAATTAACAGAGGAGCACAATAGATTTATTTAGGTCGAGGTGCAGTAGGCCTTGTGGCCGCCTCTCTTGTCCCTATCTATATCCCTATCCCTATTCCCTATATCACGGGGATAGTTTGAGGATGGCAACGTCAAGGGAAGTAGTGCTCGCTGCTGCTTGAATACATGCTAAGCTATTCGCGAAATCTTTTGCCTAAGCCGAAACGATGGTGGGTGCGCCAGCTTATGAAAAGCACTAATAGACCAGGTCAAGATCTCTTGGGCCCTTTGCGGTTTATTTCACAAGCTTGATGTGGAAATCCTAAATAACAAACCACGTCTCTTTATCACAACCCAAAATTTGGGTAGAAAATTGACTGAAGACTGTTCATACATCCACACTGCAATGTTGTTCAACATTTATCACAGAATCCCATTTCAGATCGGTCTCAAGGATATTATGAGACCCATTGTGGGTCACTTACCCGCGCCTTATGCAAACTGCGGGGCACATTGGACTTGTCCTGATTTTGAGCAGACCAAAAACAAGACGAGCAAATAAGAATCTCTTTGTGTACTAAGCTTAAGAATCCTAGGATTCAAAGAAAAAACAAATTATCCACAATTGATACTGTTTATTTCTGCAAACCTAAATGAAAAGTCAACAGAAGCGTCAAAGGATCACATCATATTGGTTAGATTCAAGTTGCTGTAGCATTTTTTATATTAAGCAATTTTTCCTTTAGTTGAAAAATATTTGCTTCAACTGCTGCAAATGAAAAAACACCCTCTCTCATGTTGTAGTGGAAAAATCTCTTTAGTATCATAGATATAACAGATTTATTGAAAAATATCCAGATGATTTTCACCACAAGTATTTACATCTTATGTTTTATTATTAAGTAATTAGTATATAGTTAAACACAAAAACGCCCAATGTTGGTGAGCACATAGACGCACTGTTATTTTTAAAATAAATCAAACGTTAGTTTTCATCTGGAATTTTTGAGAAAAAGGCATCATGTTAACCCAACATTTTGTACAAATGATGGAAGTGGTGAGTCAACTATTTAAAAGTTTCACTGAAATATTATTTTAAAAAATATCTTGTTTTCCAAACGAAAATTAGTCCGACAAGATAGAAAATCTGGATCTGGACATCCAAATTTAAAATTGGAACTTTGCTATTATGTTTATTCCTCTGTTTTTATATTGTTTCGCTCGAATTGTATTCAGATTATATTTTTTTAAATCATTTTCTAAAGGCGCTCCATCAATTTTGGTTTATCATCCGCTTTGCAGAAAATTAGGAGGTGGAAAAACATGCGGTGTAGAGGTCTCTCCAACTAACAACACCTCACAACTCTGCACGGAGATTCCAGATTCAACCTTTTTATATTCTGTATATGAATTTTGTACCTTTCAGAAACTTAAAAAACTTATTTTCTTAGTGTCGTCTCTAAGAGTATTTTCAATCTTGTTGGAGAAGTTCAAGAGAAATTAAATTTTCATATGGTTTGCAATTCGTCAACAGGTTTTTACTCTCAATATGCAAGTGCTATAAAATGGTCGGCCCTCATCATGCTACAGGCTGTTTCAAACTATTACAATTAATTAAGGTTTTCAGTTGAGATAAAAAAGTCAATGGCACGAGCGGGATTCGAACCCACGATTTTCGGCTTGATACGCCGCTGCTCTACCACCTGAGCTATCGTGACCTCGATCCACTCGGCCATCAATTTTCCATCTCAACCACACCTTTTGAGGATAGCTCAAGTGGTAGAGCAACGGCGTATCTAGCCGAAAATCGTGGGTTCGAATCCCGCTCGTGCCATTGACTTTTTTATCTCAAATAAAAACGTTAATTAATTGGAATATATTAATTGGTCAAGCGGACCACGAAATTAGTGAATTTAGTTTCAAATTATCTTTAATTTCTCTAAGTCTCACATTCTAAGACGGACTCGTCCTGGCACAAATTGATTTTAGTTTGAACGAGGCTATCACGCCTGAATTCGGTAGTTTTGATACTCTTTCTCCATCAGAAATGGCTTGTTTTGATGGAAGACGACCTTTTATTTCCTGATATCCTCCAGTGTCCAAGGATTCATATAAAAATTACTTACGTCCACGATTTCGAATTATTAGCAAGTAGATTTTCCTGTATCAGACGGTGGGAAGAAAAGAATTCTTTAAGAGCCAGAAACAGCGGGTAACACACTTACTGCATGCAACGTCATGCGACGCTACCCGATGCTACCTGACGCCTTGTCGCGTTTTGGTAGGGTGTGCACATCTATGCGGCGTCAGGCGCACGCCACGTACAGCGTGTATCACAAATCAGTATCGTAATCGCAACGCCTCTTTTGTTCTTAATGCACTATTTTGAGCAAAACCATGTAATAAATTGTTAGTTAAATTCATTCTATCAATAAATGGTATTCAGTTATTTTTATAATTTTTCTGCCTAGCCATCATAGTTAAATAATTTTTAAAAAATTAAGAATTTTTGATCTCGTTTAATTTGGTTTACATTAAAATCGGCATGTTGTAATTAATATAACGACAAAATTACATATACATAGTTTGAAATAAACTACAAAAAGTATGAGTGTTCTGTTCTGAAGCTACTCGACGAAAATGGTGTGATTTTATGAGCAAAACCATGTAATAAATTGTTAGTTAAATTTTATGAGCACAGTCATTTATTAAATTGTTTGTTAAACTTAATTGTTTTAAATAAACTTATTCCGGTGTTTTGATAAATTTTCTTCCTAACCATCATAATTAAATAATTTATATAAAAACTTATGAATTTCTGATCTCGATTAATTTGGTTTACATTAAAATAGCAATATTTTATCTAATATAACGACAAAATTATGTATACTTAGTTTGAAATAAACTACAAAAAATATGAGTGTCCTGTTCTGAAGCTACTCGACGAAAATGGTGTAATTTTATGAGCAAAACCATGTAATAAATTGTTAAATTTTATGAGCACAACCGTGTAATAAATTGTTAGTTAAATTTTATGAGCGCAGCCGTCTAATAAATTGTTTGCTAAACTTAATTGTTTTAAATAAACTTATTCCGGTGTTTTGATAAATTTTCTTCCTAACCATCATAATTAAATAATTTTTATAAAAACTTATGAATTTCTGATCTCAATTAATTTGGCTTACATTAAAATAGGAATGTTGTAATTAATATAACGACAAAATTATGTATACTTAGTTTGAAATAAACTAAAAAAATATGAGTGTCCTGCTCTGAAGCTACTCGACGAAAATGGTGTAATTTTATGAGCAAAACCATGAAATAAATTGTTAGTTAAATTTTATAAGCGAAACCGCGTTATAAATTGTTTGTTAAATTCATTATATGAAAAATTAGTATTCCGGTGTTTTTATCAATTTTCTACCAAACCATTAAAATTAATTTTTTAAAATAAAAACTAACGAATTTTTGATATCGTTTAATTTGGTTTATATTAAAATACGTGTGTTGTAATTAATATAACGACAATAATACATGTAGTTTGAATAAAAATAATAGAGTCCGGTTCTTTTGTCTTCGACTGTACTCGATGCTACCCGACGAAAATCTGGACAGTGGGGGTCGCTTAGTGTACAGTAGGGTAGCGTTGCGTAGCATCGGGCAGATGTGCGCGTGGTATTACAATCTTATGGAAAACTGGACTTTGGATTTACGTCGGGTAGCGTCGCATAGCGTTGCATCGGGTAAGTTCGTTTCCCGCTTTAAGCGAGACTAAAACATTTATGCATTTTTGCTATTATAACAAGCTGAACAGTATGTAACATAATCATAGTAGATTAAACGTTTTTTACCTAAATCTTTCTCGGACCTATATGTAAAGGTCGGGTTTGGAAGGGTATCTATGATTCCTTAGAACTCTTGTTTGTAGATATTTGGAGGTGTGTCTTGTTTTAGCTATTCGGTAAGATCTAGCTGAAAATCCGCGCTTGGGTGCAGAAAGGGCGGTTTGGGTACTCCATGTTTAAATATATATGGTTTGACATAAACAATAAAATTTGAGTGTATGGTTTTTTTTCTTTGAGAGCATGTGTGCCTATTAGGTTGGTTGGTTCTGTGTTATTAGGGTGAGTGAAAAAGATAAAGTTAAATTTATACTATATTTCATGTTAATTTCAATTATTGTCTTATTTGATATTGCCATGTAGATTTAGGCTGCTCAATTCGTCTCTTTCTTGGAAAATATAGTCTTAGTCCGCTACGGTTTTCCTATCACATTCACATGCCTGGCAAAGTCGCATATGGATGTGAAAATTTTGTTTTTTCTCTCCAGCATGAGCCACTATTTCGGTGACCGTAACCGCTGCTTTTTCAGAACCTGAACGGTTGCTTTTATTCTTATATTACTTAGTACTATGAACTTTTACACAATATTAAGAAGAAATGTTCTAATTGTTATTACAGATCATAGGATTGGCTATATTTGTGATACACTACCACTCTTACTTGCCTGCAGACTGGGCAACTAACTTTTTCATAACACTGGGCTTTTGCGGCCCTCTGTTGCCCCAGATATACAGGATGGAGGGTTTGAAATCCGACGAAATACCTATGGATAAACTATCGGTAAATTTTTTTATTTGATGAATTAAATCGTGAAAAAACTTAAATGAATTTTCCAGGAATTCATTGTAATAGTGTACAGTCTGGTGTCCTACAGTTTCGCCTCAGTGGTCAGTTTATTGTCCATACTTTGGCAAGTCAAAACAACAAAAGTTATATTGACTATAATCAAAGCTTTACTCTCTCTTGTTATATCGTTAATGTTGTCTCATGAAATTGTATTAGTAACGACGAGACACAATGTTAAATAAATTTTGTTATCATGAACTAACTTTTATATGACCGAAAGAATCCTTTCCGTCAAACTCATGAGTAATATTTAACGTATTCGAACTCGGCTCAGGTTAGCTGTTGATTTAATATACTACAAAAACGGATAGTATTTATTTATTATTTTCCTCAGGGATGTCATGTTTTTTCTTGCACAGTGTAACGACAAAGTCGATGAATAGTAAAATAATAAGAAAGGAAGCGATTACTGGCTTGCAAAGTACCATGACTCCACCCCTGGACTTAAACCCATCGACCGCATCCATTATCGTCAGAGATGTACCGGCGGCGTATGCCAGCATGCAATACAAAAGAATGATGACGTTCTGACAGAAACGAACAAAAGAAAAAAAAAATTCAATGAGTTATAACAATATATGAAGAAACATACAATAGGTTTACTAAAATTCGAGTCGGTGAACGTCGGAACGTCGAGCCTAAACACTTGCAGGATCAACGGACTGCAGAATCCTTGCGCGGTGCCAAAAAGCACCCACTTGTCATGCGTCATGTCTGATTGGGCATGCAAGCCAAAAAGGAGAGTACCCAAAAGCTGCAACATCACTTTATTTATATTGTTGTGAATAAATTTTGATAATTCTCTTCTCGAAAAAGAAATAATTATACCATCTCAAATATTTGCATCCAAAATAGTTTCTCAAACTTCATCCAGGAAGGCGTATAATAAGTATCATAGAACGATTGTTAATTTGAACGAGATTCGATATTTCTCTCAAAATACAACTTGATTGACCCAAAGTACAAACTACATGTGTTTTTTAAACACAAACATAAACCATTTAAAAAATAAACATGTTTTTAAAATCATAACAAACCAACGCATTTGTTATTTTAAAATAGAGTTTTTTCATACATCTATGTGCGATATCGTAAGTCTGCCTAGTAAGTGCGACAGTGGCAGATATGCCTACAAGAGCATTTATCAGATTCCTGGAAGTCGTAAGTAACACGCTTAAAGTTCTTGTACGAAAAAAAGTTCTCGTTATTTTCTGAGCAGAGCTTGGGCTTTACGCTGTGCATATTGCAACTGGAGTCGATGAAAGACGATATTTCGACTACAGGAATGATAATTATGAACACAATCCTGACGTCTTTGCTGCCCACTGTGATGTTCCGTTTCGAAGTGACAGTTTATGGGAAACACGGCTTTTCTAAAATAGAGGTGTGTTTATAATCAATTTGAACTTTCTAATCATAGCGATAATTGTTGTAATTTGTCAAAGAAACTAACAAACATTTGTTAGATTTAAACAGATGTTTAATGCCCTTTGTTAAAGACCCAAATCCAAACTGGGAATCACACATATTAAACGTAAACGTTTCATTCATGCTGAACCGGCATAGGTCACTTATTAGTAACGCTGTGAGTGACCAAATAAAATAGTTATTTTCTGAGGTTGTTGTAAAAGCAGTTCAGGCTAATATTCATAATATTCTAAACTGTCATAAATTTTTATTATTTGACGATTGATACGTTTTCCAGTCATGTGATTATCAAATTGGAAAAAGTGGATCCAAAAAGTCACATCCAATGATCCAAAAGATAGACAATTTCTGTTCAATTACAGTTTTGTTGCTATTAAATTTCATTGTCTAATCTCTAGCGTACAACAGAAAGAAATCTTTGAAAAAAGAAAAATTTCCAGATTCATCAGAGTTAGTCAAATTTTGACTATCTGTTTCACATGAATCTGGCCAACAGCGTCGTTTTTCGTTTTTTATCTATTAAAATTTCATTATCTTGCACTACTGAACTTTTAAATAATGGAAGGTTTGCCAATTTTTTTACAATTCTGAGGGCTTGGGTCTGTGAAGTTCTGGCCAATAATATTGATTTTCTCTTTATTTCCAAATTGAATTATTTAAAGCGAAAAACTGATCATAAATAATTCCAATTATTTATTCTTTTTATGCAAGGTTTTGGTTAAAAAGAGTTGGATAATAGAATAATTAATTGAAATAATTAATATGGTCCAACATAATTGGATTAAAATAAAATATTGTAGCACTTTTTTTTTTTAAATTTACAAATATTAATAAATGATTATTTAGAGATCGTGAGATGCGATGTGTGACGTAGGTTTTATAAAAACATTTTCTTTATCGTGCCAACGTTTCGATCTTTATTTAGATCATCTTCAGCGTCTGGAATTTACAAACATTGTTTAATTTTACAAATACATGTAGGATGTGAAAAAAGAAAAAAGAAAGACAATAATATAAATATTAATAACCTTAATAATTATAATAACCAAATAAAAAAGAAATTTTAAATAAAGATACTTGAAATTAAACAACTTTTCTCTGTTATGAAATAAAAATATATACATAAAATTAAATTAGAAATTCTATTCAGAAAAGAAATTAAATCTAACATTGTATATATTTTTTTAATGTAAAATTTTCTACCATTGTATAAATTCATTTTTTTAATGTAAAATTTTCTAGCAATGTTTAATTTATTTTTAATCTAAAATTTTCTACCATTGTATAAATTCATTTTTAATGTAAAATTTTCTAGCAATGTATAATTTGTTTTTAATATACAATTTTTTAGCATTGTATAAATTCATTTTATTCACATACAACATGTATTGGTAAAATTTAAACAATGTTTATAAATCCCAGGCCCTGAAGATGATCTCAATAAAGATCGAAACGTTGGCACGATAAAGAAAACGTTTTTCTAAAACCTACGTCACACCAGACCGCATCTCACGATCTCCAAATAATCATTGACTAACGGTCACTAAACACCACATAACAATTAAATTTAAACAATAACATCAAAATAAACCTGTGTAATTTAAAATTAATATTGAAGCAAGTTGTCGAAATTGACAAGATGCAAACACGCAGCTAATATTCCGTTTGTTTCTTTTTCCAGATCAAGTTTAGGCCGGTGTTCTTTGATTGAGTTTTTGATTTATGTAACAATATTAAAGGATTGCTTAATTTTTTTTTTTCTTTAAAAAAAACCCAACATATTTGTAACTTGTGAAAGCCAACAAGTTAAAATCATTGGTTCCAGGGTAAATTTCGTCAAGATATCTATTTTTTTAAATTTTGTTAGTTTTTGGTTAAACCCTATTGCTTAAACAGAGAAAAAACTACAACTGATCAGAACCTGTTGTGTTTCACTGTTTCACAGGTTATTTTAACATTACCTGTTAGATTCATCGGCCCGATCGGATTATTTTTCATGACAAAACATTTTTACCAATCCTTTAATATTAAAATTATAAAAAAGTTTTATGTTAAAACCGGTTTAATTTGTAAGTAATAAAATTTAATGGGAAAACAGTGTTGTAGGCCAGATACTCCTCGATTTCACTGGTTCCAGTTAGATTAAATTTATCTAATCTTTCAAAGATTTTGATAAACTCCATTTTTCTAATTTTGGTAGTTTTTGGTATTAAATAATACTGCTTGAATTGAAATACTCAAAAACTACAACTCACCAGAACTTGCTGGATTCATCGGTTCCAGTACAATACAATTATTTTTCATGACTGAAATTTAATAATTATGAAAGATTTTATGTTAAAATCAGTTTAATTTGGAAATAATAAAAATTAATGAGAAAAACAGTGTTATTGGTCATATCCTGCCTTTTTCACTGTTCGAGATAGGTTAAAAGATTTGGATAACCTCCATTTTGTTAAAATTTGGATACGGCTTTGGAGATACAGCTGTGTACGGGACTTTACGTTTGCGTATTCCGATTGAGTTCATAAGGATCACGTAGAAAGCAACTAGCATAATCTGTGAAAATTTCATAAATTTTGTCTCATGGTTTCGGAGTTTTGCCGATTACAAAGGATTAACCATAAACGGACAGACAGACACGAAACCAAATTTGTTCAGAAAGGTCTGAAGCGCAAAATGCGAGTGGAAATTTTGATTTTGGGGCACAACAATTTTTTCGAATTCCCTCACGAATTTACTTTCCGTAGTTCGTACGTTACGTTAGAAGAACTAGTTCCATTGATCCAATTTTGTGCCAACTTAGCAATTTTTACAAATTTTCGAAGCATCTGTGGCAAATATAATTTAGAAATACGCGAGTTCAAATTCACTTTAAAAATTGTCAGAGTTGACTGGTTGGTATTCATTGGTTTGGCGAACGTTCAATTCGAAACTTTTCGAAAATTTAAACATCCTTTGTGCCTGAGGTTCTAATTATAATCTCTTCAGGCAAAACTGAAAAAGTCAAATTTTGGCAAAATGAAAAAAGTTTGGTTTCCAATAAGTATCTAGGACGTGAGGCTGTCTATAATTTTTGGAAACCATTTATTTTTTGAACGCAATGTGCCTTTTTAGAAATCTCAAAAAATTAAATCAACATTGCAGTAATTTTTCAACTTTTACATTCGTACGTCTTAAATAGACATAGTAAATCTAGGACAGTTCATTTTGTACCTAAGGTCAACATTTTGAAATCGCAATCCTGAAAGGTTCATTTTTTTATTTATCCAGTTGCCCTGAGGTGCAAAATTAATAGATTTATTATTGATAAAAATGTATATTTGAATTAAAGAGATAAAATGAATTCTATTTGGCAAGTTTTGTTGGTGTTGGTTTTTTTACATCCATTTAATTATTAATTAAGTGGATTATTAATTCTGTTAATAAAAAAACAGATTTAACATGTTAAGCATTATGCTTACTAGTTTATATATTATCGTAATTCAACGATGTTTATTGCTTCTGTTGTTTACTATTATATTAATTATAATATAAAATAAGCCCAGAATCATTATTTCAGGACATGTTGTTCTCTTCTTTTGCTGCATGGGTTTACATGGTCGGAGGAGCTTTTCAATATAAATATTTGGCATACTATTTGACTCTTTATAAAACATGCGGATCGTTTATGATGGCATTATTTTTCTTGATTGACCTCATTGTAACGTACGTACATTTAAACTTATTAATTGTATTATATTTTTTCTTTTTTCTCCTTCCTAAAAGTAGGTTTTTTAAATTTATTCGAAGAAGCACGTGGTTTTTGATTAAAAAAAATAAAAGGTTAGTTTATTTCAAAAACATTTTCTCTATGTTTCCGGCTATTTCTAGGCCATCATCAGTAAACCCTAGATCAGCCTGGGAGGAGGAAATTATTTCTCACATTCCTCTTAAAATTGCCCTTCCTTGGGGAGAGACAATTGGAGGTTTTTTACAGGGTAAAACCGCTATGGGAGAGTAAGCGAGACCGCTAGGGTTTTCTGGTGATGGGCGAGAAAAAACCCGAAACGTAGAGAAAAAAAATGTTTTTGAAATAAACTAACCTTTTATACAAAAATCAAAACTCACGTCTTTCTTGGAATAAACCCTAATTTAAAAAACTCCTTTTAGGGGGAAGAAAACAGAAAAAAATATATAATAATCCACTGCGTGAATCTATAATAATTTACAAAAAATATTTTTATTTATGCGATACCACATATAAATTTTTATAATTTATTAATTATTACATATTGTTATTATTGATTAGCTATTAATTTTTATCGTGCATTTGCTTAAGTACTAGATTTACATAATGATATTGCGCTTCCTTTAATTTTGAGTACTGGTCTTACTTTAATTAATTCACAGTTGAAAATCATAATAAGATATTAACTAAGACTCTACTAAATAAGTTACTATGCTCTAGAGATTGGAAAAAACTGCTCTTTTTCAGGGTCAAAACAGCTTATTCAGTTAAATAAATCAGTTCTTTTGTATGGTACACGTCACGCACTCATCAAATTTATCTTACCCATAATTCCATGCGTAAACTTTGGCGGGTTTTTCGAATTTCGATGCGCCAGCGCCAGGGCCAATGGTAAAGGTTGATTTGTTTAAACTAGTGGATGTACTAAGAAATGACAAACTGTTAAGCCTTTCCCATTTTTTCCAATAATAAATTTAACGTTAAAAAATGAAGAATTAAACAAAGAAGATCGATCAATTCTTTGTTGCTGTTGCTCACCTATCAATTAACAACCTATAATTTTATTAGATACTTTTATTTCTTGTGCTCTTGCGATTGCTCAAAAACCAAAACATAAAAAAATAAATTAACACATATTTTTAAACTTGTAGTGCTGATCTGTAAGCATTGTGATTCTAGTAACCTGAAAATAAAGAAACAAATGGTGAACGGACGGAAATCAATCTTATATTGCGATGGTCTCTCTCTATGGTCAGTGAACCAGAACCTATCTGTAAAGAGGGGGCTGGAGCATGACTGATTCAACTACAGCTGCAAGCAATTTCCAATCCCTTAGCTTGCTATTGGGTTTGGATTCGTAATGGTCCGTTGGAGAGACATCTAGAGGGTACCTAGAGTTTGATGGCTTCGTTCAGGTGGTTCTGTTTATCACAAACCTTTACTTTGTTACGACTAGACAACCCTAAGAGTGGTTAGCATTCAACTTAAATTGAAAGCCAGTGCCGCCCTGCTGTTCGGAAGTCCCTACGGGGCCCCTCTACCGGGAACGGCCAATTCTATCGTCGGGACGGTACACGAGAGGTTCGGAGAGAAATCAGTGAAGTTTCTCAACTTGGGGGGTGGTCCTCCCGTCGGCAGGGGCAAGTGGGGAAGAAACATGACGTTTTTCTACTTGTTACGTAGTACTTACGAGAAGAGTTGAGAAGAGAATTGCATAGCCTCCCACCTTATAAAGAAACGACTGACAAGGCCATGTGCCAGGTGCGCTGGAAAAGACACTATTGCACCCCTAAAAGAAACTAATGACGGAATACGTGGGCCAGCTAGGGTTTTGGGTGAGATTTCGTAGTTTCCTTTGTAAGTGAAGACAAAAAAGGATAATTTGGCATTATTTTTCCTTTTCCATTTTCTGGTTCATTAGACCTTAGTTTCCATACATGCTTGGGCCCTTAAAGCTTCACTTGCAAGAACTGCGGTATCGACGGAAAATTGCGCTATCTTAATGTTGCAATTAATACACGTAAGCAACGTAATGTAAGCCCAGTGTATGGCCAAAAATGCTACATTTTGCCTGGATTTCATGCTGATCTGAAAGTCGACCTTTGTGACAGGGAAACTTGAATGAGGGGCAGAACATTGTATCTGTAATATAAAGTTTTTAGTTATGCAAGAAAACCGTTGATAACACGACTCAGTTTATCGTGCTCGGTACAATTAAACCACTTTTCGTTGAATATGAAAAAAATAGCACTTGGTCAATTCCATTTCTGTATGAGGGAATTTGACGCTATCCTGTCAAGTTCTTGCCCTCTACTATGGGATGATTATAGCTTTATTTGACTCGAGTCCTCAAAATTCCACGGACAGGGCCTGTTCTGAACTTTCACAATAAATTGGTCGACGTCCATCCTAGATCAGCTTCATTGGCAGTTTGCCTGTCCGTTGTTCGCTTGTCCGTCGTCAGTGTGGCGCACCCCCTCTTCTTTGCACTGTTTTAATCTGTTTAAGGCGTTGACACGGCGCTCACCAGTGTTAAAGGTCTTGGGTAAGCATCAAGAGGCCACGAGTTCTAACCCAACATACTTACAAATGGGATTTTTGTCCAAATCACCGGTTACCCAATGGTTCATATAACCTTGTAGTTGAAATGCCCGCACACTGAGGCTTTTATTGATTGGTGGGTAAACAACACTTTATTAATTCCGACAAACCCAGGGAATATGCTTTATTACCTTGTGCATTTGGGATAGGGAAAAATGGAGGCCAAGGGGCTAAGCTTATGCATTAAAATATAATCAAAATCGGATAATTCATGTATGAGTATTATCCTGAATTAACTTAGATTATTTGTATAAAACGTGTTTTTAAAATATTGGGTTGTCCGGAAAATAATGCAGGATTTTGGTATTAAACAAAAAAAAAAGAAACTAGTTACTTTAAAGCAATGTTCTTTAATCAAAATAATTTCCCATACTCTCAATACATTTCTCCCAACGTGTTGGTAACTTATTAATTCCGTCTGAGTAGAATTCAGAATTTTTAGAATTGATAAAGTCAATAAATGCATTTTCCAGTTCCGTTTGATTTTTGAATATTATGTGTTGTAAGTAGTGGTCCAGGTGTCTAAAAAAATGGTAGTCAGTAGGCGAGAGGTCCGGAGAGTAGGGTGGGTGAGGCAAAGTTTCATAGCCAAGCTCCAATAATTTTTGTGACGTTACACGTGACACATGTGGTCGAGCGTTGTCATGCAACAAAATGGGCCCTTTCCGATTGACCAAAGAGGGCTTCATTACTGCCAATTTCTGATGCATGGTATTAATTTGGTTACAGTATGATTCAGCATTGATGGTTTCGCCAGGATTTAAGAAGCTGTAGTGTATTAAACCAAATGAAGCCCACCATACCGTAACCATTACCTTTTTTTGATGAGTTGGGGGCTTTGGAGCTTCTCCTTTGTCGAGCCACTGTCCAGAACGTCTAGTGTTATCGTAGAGAATCCACTTTTCGTCACATGTAACAATTCTGGCCAGAAATGGGTCATTTTTGTTTCGACAAAGAAGTGATGCACAAACATCAAAGCGCTGATTTTTTGGCGATCGTTTAATGAGTGTGGAACCCAATTTTCGAGTTTTTTCACTTTTCCAATCGCCTTGAGGTGGTCAGCGACGGTCGTTTTACTGACTTTGAGTTGCTCTGCAAGTTCTCGAACAGTTGTTTTGGGGTTTTCTTCCACCACTGATCGCAGAACATCATCATTAAGAGAGGAAGGCCTTCCACGACCTTCTTCATCTTCAAGGCTGAAATCTCCCTCCCGAAATTTTTTAAACCACCTTTGCACAGTGCACTCATTAACACAACCCTCGCCCCAGACTTGGTTAATGTTTCTAGCCGTTTGGGCTCCGCTTCGGCCGAGTTTAAACTCGTAAAAGAAAATCGTACGAAATTCTCGCTTTGACATTATAAGGATGACTGAATTATTTCCAAGTAGCGGAATGCTACAGAGGTAAACAAACAATATCATTTGGAAGAGGATTAATAAGTGTTGACATTCATACAAATGAGTAATCCTGTAAACGTAAACAGAATATTTTATATAGATTTTTTTTAATGAAAACTTAAAATCCTGCATTATTTTCCGGACAACCCAATACATTGAGCAGATTTAGTCGGAATGGAATAGCATAAATTAGTCATATACTTTGGTAACGGTCGGACAAACAAAATTGTTTCATATTTTGGTTTTGTGGTACCTATGAACAATTTAAGGTTGGACGGACGGATTTTCTGATATGTAAACTTTTAGGTGGTGCTCAGCTGCCGACGACGAGATACTCATACGAAATGGCGTCTTTTTCCTGATAGTCGCCCGTCAGGAACAATGGAAGGTGAAAGACGTGAGGCTGCAGGAAGACAAGATGCCCATAACGGCACCGTCGACCAAGATCGAACCGGATTCACATTACTACAGGCCGAGGTTCATGAGGCCCTGGGGCAAGGCGTACTTCAGAGTTTGTGACGACGAAGTCGCAGAAAAGAAGCTTGAAGATTTGCTTAGAATGGAAAGGAAGAGAAGGGGGAAAGAAGCTTTGACTCCGCAGGAACGCCTGTTGAGGGCGATAGAAATGAAAAGGGAAATAGCAAACGCCCTCCGGGAGCAACGAATCGAAAGAGCCGGTCGTACCATCAGTCAGAATCTATCCTACCGATAAAACATTTTTAACTTTTATATTCAATTTCTTTAATAATACTTTTGAATCTAATTTTATGCATTCACCATATGGTCGGTATAAATAATTTTTCATATATCTGTGCATAAACCTTTAAAATGACTATCCTGTCTTCGACTAAGTTTCAAGGTTGGAACAAATTCGCAGAAATGGTAAGCCATGCCTGACAAAGGACCATAATCTAATCCTCTAATGTAAAAAGTTCCTCAGCGTACTCTTAGCAATAATGGAGTCCAAGACGTTATTAATCGGTCTTGTTTTCACGGAAGTGAATCCTTATTTTGCCTTCTTGAGAACAGCCTCGTATTCGACCATGATCGTCCCGTCCATCATGAGGTTGCAGGCTGCCAGCTTTTCAGAGCCAATCGTACTCGATCACCATGTGGTAAATTGATAAAAATTTCAACTTGACAATAATATTAATAAAATAACAATCAGCATATGTTCATCACGAGCGTCGGGGCGATTTTATACACAATAGCCAGCATTTTTGGACTGCTTCATTGGTTCAAGTTCCCCGGTGTTCACAAGTATTACAGATGGGAGGAAATTGCGATAGTTTTGACTCAGCACATATTGGCTCTTGTTCTTGCTTTAATGTTTATATGTGACACTTTTATCGTCTGTTTCAAACACGAAGATAAAATATACGTTTAATTTCCCACAAGGTTGTTTATTTATTATATTTTAATAAATAACTAAATAAAAGATAACTTCTTTTGGTTATTTTTAATTGTAGAAAATTGTGTCAATAAATATCCAAACTAATTTTTGTTTGGGCCAATTTCATCATCTCGACACACCGCAAACACAAAAAAAATGTATAAACGTCGAAGGAGGTAGAACGATTCACAGCGCAACCGGAATTTGTTCAACCAGCCGGTTAGTTCCCACCTGGTTAATTAACTTAATCAACAAACCTCTATTTCTTGTGGTGTAATATGTTAAAATAGTTGATTTCAGCAATCGCCATTTAATTGAACATGTAATTAATATTACCAATCGAAATTAGCTGTCACATTCTTAAGTACAATTCTATTTCTCATTACGCTTTATTTTGATATTTTTCTATTTCTATCTTCTATTCTTCTGTTTGTCTCTTTCCATTGTTATCGCTCCTTTTTTCTTTTTTCTTTAACACCTTGTTATTCACTAGCGTGTGTCGATCTATGTCCGGCTCTGTATGCCTTTATGCACTTGCATTTTGTTCTCTACGTTTCACTCTGTTGATTTGTTTCCTTGTTTGTCCGTCTCTCCATCATCAATCACTCCCTTTTCTCTTTCTCCCTCGGTCTCTCTCACTCCACTCTTTTACTTTCTCTTTGGCTGTCTCTATTTATCACACACCTTCACTATCTCGGTTTTATTATCACTTTCATTCTCTATATCTGTCTTCTACCTTTTGCTCTCCCGAGAAAAAACAAAATATTTTCTTGCTCTTTCAGTCTCTTTCTATTTATCTATACATCCATTTATCTATCCATCTAACTCTCTCTCTCGCTCTCTTTCTTTCTTTATCTATCCATCTACCTTTTTGTTTTTCTTGGTCACCCTGGATATGCTAAGTTTCTCTTTTTTTCTCATTCCACGTTACTTCACCCACTTCTGTTTTTCTCAATTTCTTTTTGTCTTTCTATTTCATCGCGCTGTTTCTTTTTTATTTATTTATATCTGCTAGACTCTATTTCTCTTTTACCGTCTGCCAATGATGTCTCTCTTTAGCACACAGCTTCACCTTCTAGGTTTCTTTACCACTTTCATTCTCTATATGTTTCTTCTGACTGCTGCTCTGTCAATAAAAAATACAATTTTCTACTTTCAGACTCTCTCTTACTATCTATTCCTCTTTTCTTTACTCTCTTTCTCTAAATTTCTCCGTTTCTCCTTGTACCTCTGACTGTCTGCCTCGCTGTCTGTACGGCTCTCTCACTTCTTTCATATTTTTCCACGTTAAGTGGTACAAAGGTTTACGAGACCTAATTTGCGTGGCTAACTAAATCAGATCAATTACAGTCTCTCTCTCTCTCTCTCTCTCTCTCTCTCTCTCTCTCTCTCTCTCTCTCGCTCTTTCTCTCTCTATTTCTCTCTCTCTCTTTTTCTCTCTCTTTCTCCTTATCTCCTTATTAATTCGCTATTTGTCTGTCTCTCTTTACACACCCCTGATCTCTCGTTACTACTTTCATTCTCTACATCTTTGTTCTGCCTGTTCCTCACTCTTCTATTGCTCTTTCACTCTCGCCCCCTCTCACCCTTTCTAACCGTCGTTAACTACCCTATCTATCTCTCTTTCTATCTTATTCCACATAAAGCATGAGATCACAATTTTTCGTGATTTATTTCCTTCGCCATCACTTTTATTTTCGCCATCTCTCTCACTCATTATCGCTCTTTAAGTTTCTTTCATTCTATCTCTTCTCGTTTTTTTGACATCTTCCTCTATCTTATTTCTTACCACAAGCTCTTATTCTCTTACTATACACTTACTCTTTGTCTGTCCCTGTTTCCACATACATTCGCTCACTCGAACTCTCTCCTTTTTTTCTCTCTTTCTCTCTCTTCCCTTTTACTCATCGCCGGCCGAAAAATGAAAACGCATATTCACATTATTCTTGTGTACTTCCGGTAGAACATCCAATTCCTTAGGCTGTTTGCCTACGGGTGTCGGCAAGTGGAGGGACCCAAGGACTCGGTTACAGCCCGCCAGCCAAAATAGAAAATTTTTATAGGCGCATGACTGGTTGCATAAGCGTAAAATATGAAAGTGCGACATCACATAAACTAACAAGAAAACGCCCAGTGATGTCGTTGAGCCAAGAGTCGGTTGGGTAAGACTAAAAGCGTTAATTGGCAGACCGAGAGATTGATAGTAACATGACCTATGTAAAAATTGGTACAACCAAAAAAAAAAAAAAAAAAGGCTTAGAATTTTTGCATTGCAGTTTTTAAACAATCTATTATTAATATTATTTTTAGATATGCACTCACAATATGACAGCAATAAAAAAAGAAAAAACAATAAATAGCAATAAAATAGATAAATTTTTTTGTTGATTTGTAATCACCTTACTAACTCTCCCTATTTCATTATCTCCCTATTTATCTCTTTATCTGTTATATATCAAGCGAAATTTGCCATCTAACAATATATAATAGCTACTGTACTTGTACATCTAATCTTCCTACAATAGCTATCTGCCTACCCATCGATCAGTCTATATTATGTGCAATACGTCCGTATAGCTGTCTACATCTATCTTTCTACAAAAGCTGTCCATGTACACATACATTATCTCTGTAACACGTAATTATCTCTGTCTCTCTCTGTTTGTCTCTCTCTCTCTCTCTCTATATATATATTTTTTTTTTTTGGGGGGGGGGGTTTACGCTGGCATATTACCCATGAAGTTTTCTATTTTCATTTTACTGTCGAACGTGATCTGCCGACCAGGGCCAGGTCCCCGCCGCGCGCCCGCACCACTCAGTCAGCTCCATCATCTTCACATCTTCTAAATTTTCATGCTTGAAGATAATCAAAAAGAAACGTTTTTCGACTTTAGAAATCCATAGATTATGTTGAAAGCTGATGGATTGTTGCTTATTAGGACAGATTCTAAGTTTATTGGTTTTGAAATGTAACCCCCTCAAAATCCAACGTATATAAACACAAAATCTCACTGGCACTCTCGACACGACTCGCAAGAATGGCACAATTACACAGAAGACAAACACTTTGAGTGAGTAGAAATACTTTGAATGAATATATAAAAAAATACATTTTACATTGTATAAATTCACTTTTCCACATCCAAAATGTAATTGTTATATGTAAACAATGTTTGTAAATCCCAGGCCCTGAAAATGATTTCAATAAAGATCGAAACGTTGGCACGATAAAGAAACTGTTTTTCTGAAACCTACATCACACCAGACCGCATCTCACGATTTCTAAATAAATATTTTCAATAACTATTATCATTTTCGTTAATGTCCTCAGTAACTGCGAACGTCTATCCATTTATCTATATTAGTTGTCATCAATCTACAACAGTTTTTATCATCCATTTTCATTACCAACATATCACTCTAAGATCCTCCACTGCCCGTACAGAGTATTTTATGACAGGCTTCGCTCGCGGACGCGACCCCTCGGGATTCGCTTCGGTGAGTCCCTAGGGAGGGCCGGATTGAGGCTGGGAACGGTGCTTCGGTTAGGCCACCGGCCGACGCCCCCCTGGACCATTCCGGCCGTGCTCGTCCGCGACGATCTGGCGAACTTGCCGAAATCGTGTACGCCGCCATACCTCTACAAGGGTAAGTTCCTTGAACTTAGAAGTAGATACGCCGGTTTTCGTCTGATTTTTACAGACGGGTCCAAGACCGGCGATGGTGTGGCTTGTGCTGCGTATAGCGAGGGAGTGGCCACCTCCTGGTCGCTGCCCCCTCATTGCAGCGTATACACGGCAGAGCTGTATGCGATTTGGCAAGCTCTCGAGGCGGTGCGGACCGGGGAGGGCTCAGCCTTCCTCGTATGTACCGACTCTCTGAGCGCTGTCTGGGCTATACGCGACATTCTCTGTGGACCCTCTCGTCGTGCTCTTGTTAGATAAATATGCGGAGCTGGAGCCTCTCGGAAAAACGGTGGTTGTTGTCTGGATTCCCGGACACGTCGGCCTGGAGGGTAACGAACGCGCGGACGAGACGGCGAAAGCCGGTACGTCCCACCCTCCGGATCGGACCATCGCGATCAGGCCCCCTGACGCTAAACACTCATTTAAAAATATGATAAAAGAAAAATGGCAGCGTCAGTGGGTGGGGTCGTCGGAGAGTCTCTTGCGAATCAAGAGCACGACCGGTAGATGGCCCTCAGAGAATCTGAGCAGGAGACGAGGGATCGTCCTCACCCGACTGAGGATTGGCCATACTGGTTTGACACATGGGCACCTGCTTTTGGGCCAAAGCCCGCGCAGGTGCCCCTTATGCAGAGAAAGGTTGCTCGATAATGCCTTGGCTCCATACAGAGAGCGTGTAGGCATGCCGCCGGACTTAAGAAGAGTTCTTGAACACGGTAGCGAGTTTCAGAGTCCCCTGTTCCGCCTTTTAGGGGAAATTGGTTTTTTTTTATTGTATATAGTATGTCTTATGTGTTGTGTGTCTATATTTATTAGCGTGAATGGCGAGGAGTGAGGGTGAAATATAACGTCATCATCACCCCTCGAACGATGAGAGCGTAAAAGTGCGTGTTCGGGGTCGATGGCGGAATATTTATAAAAGTACTCCATCGACCCCAAACTAGATTAGTTTGAATACAGGGTCGGTAGAGGAATATCAAGTAATCCACCGACCAAACGGAATGAGTGTACTGTATGGATGTATTTATGTGTATGAATGTATTTATTTGTATGAATGTAGTGTTTGAAAGGGTAAATAGAATATAGACATAGTTGGGGGCTGAAATCACCTAGATGTCGGAAGTCCCAATATAATAAAAAAAAAAAATCACTCTAGTTATATATCTACAATAGCTATCTATCTTTTCTGTTTATCTGCATTACCTATCCATCTATCGATCTACAATGTCTATATACAAATCTACTTATCTATCTGCAATGGCGATTTATTATCTATCGAAGCTAAGTTGCTGTTTATATAAAATATTTGTCTATTCCATCTACATTATTAGCTATCCATCTATTGTACTACAATAGCGGTCCATGTATCGTATATACCAGAAATAACTATGTATTTATCAATATAACTACTACCATTGTCCATTTATCTATATCTTTTTTTAAGGCGGTCAACCACCATAGGTAATGGGTGCCTTGAAATTATCTGGAGTAGTTATTTGGACTAGGTATCTTAAGTGATGCTAGCTGGCGAGAAAAAGACACTCAATTTAATAAAATAAGTTATAATGGTACTTAAGCTCGAGAATTTGTCACATATTATTGCGTTCATTTCGTTTCTGTATTGTGCTTCCAAAACGTTGTTACGAAGTCTGTTATCAATACAAAACAAAGAAGTACGGCTATCGTCGCTTTTATATAAACGTGAATTTTAAAATATTTCTCTTCCGAGTCGTAAGAGCGCCAATCTTCCTCGGAATGGCTATAAAATATATAAAGGGTGTAGACGCACGCTACGCTGTAGGATGTGATTCCCAAAGCGATAACGAGCAAGTCCTTCAAACAAAAATGAACGATTAGAATTTGTAACAATTTGTATTGTCATGCAGTAAATATAATCCTTACGATAAATTTAGAAAATTCCTCCCTCTCGAACATACTCAGTTCCAGTCTGAATAAGAGCGGGATGATCATGGAGGTGTAAGTAGTCGAGACTATTCTCATTTCGTTTTCCGATGCCAGTTCTTGTATGTCCAATTCTTTGCCGAGTTGGTACATTAACAGCACTATGCTCAGCGTCTAGACCAAATCGGAGTGAGCAAACGTAATTGTTATGATCTGTCGCAGGCTCTTACCACTTCTGCGATCCTCAGGTACAGTTTGATTCCGAGTTCCATGGATAAACCGGGATTAGATGATGGAGAAAAATGTAGCCAAGCTTTACCGGCTGTACATTACCTTTTGAAAGGTTTCCATCATATGTAAGACACAAAAGTTAAATAATGAACATTGGTTTTTCGTGTACTGAGCTTGTAAGTAAACCAGAATAATTTATTCAGACAAAACAATAAACACCTTTAGGTTTTTTGTTTTTCCTTGTTTTTCATTCACGGGAAAACCGAGCTTATCGTTCCTACGCTCGGCCATGGAACTGTTCTGGAACTTGCCGTGGGAATGACTGGCTACTCAGCCATGGTCCTGCCCCTTTCCTTGAGAATCCAGTCGAAACTTCTAGGATACAAGCTGAATAAAAACACAGTAAGAAGCGAAACTCAAAATAAAAACGTGAATGTTCAAAAAATTGATTTTCTTTTCAGGAAATGTTCATTCTCATGCTAGGAATGTACATGTACTTAATCACATCGATCGTGGAATTTTACACCTTGTTTCAGACAATAATGTCAAAATCATTAATAGTCAAACCGAATCATAACTTGCTCGTAATTTTGAAGATTTTCTTTTCTCTCACGTTGGCAATGGTTTTGGTCATGGACGCCAACCGTGTGACAAACAGTTCAGTACGAAAATAAGAGCGGGCACATTACAAAACTAAAAATACACTTTTTCAACACAAAAACACCTTTTTTCCTTAGTTTGATATGTTTCTTATATTTGACATACTTTTTAATTTGTAAAAAAATTAAACATGTGTTTGTTTTCTTGTGGTTCGTACTAGCCAATAAACCATGTATGACTACCAAAACCTTTCTATTTACTTGAAAATCACGGAATTCGTAAGATTTAAAATATCAACTTTTTTTGTTTAATTAGATGGCTAACTTTTTCTCTATTTCAGATGATGAGCATTATTGTAAGTTCGTTTCATATAAAGACTGAATTTTCAATTCCACAAATCGGCTACGGCACGAATCTCAATCTTTTAATCCTCTCAACTTCTTTTTCTGCTATGATCGTCCCCTTCGCCGTTAGGATCCAAGCTTCTATAGTTAAAGATTTTCCGTTTGAGCCCATCACTGTCAGCAATTCTATCATAAGACACATTTAGAGTAATTTTTTACTTAATTAATTTTTTTTTAAAGGAATTGTTATTTACTGTAGCCGGGACGATGTGTTACGCGGCGGGTGGCCTCGTAACGATAATGGAGTGGCGGAACAAACAGTCACTGGACACCGTTTTCTTCAGAACTACTTTCAACGAAATATTTTTAGCGAAAGGTATAATTTCTTCTCTTCTAAGTTTAATCGTTATGGTCGACATCTACGTAGAATATAAATATTCCAAGGGAAGACTCGATTCGCTTTATTAAACAATTTTATTGGTCATCTGAGTGTTATGAATGTTTGTTAAAAAAAATGTGACGTTATAAATATATATTTGAAGGAATATTTACAATGTTTTAACTGAAATGATACAACTTTGTTGTGGTTTGTTTAAACTTCATCGCTCATCAAAACAAAGTAGGCGTCGATGCAGAAACCAGCAGCGAGGAGAATAGACGATATGCCTTTTATGAGTAGTATCTCTGTGAAAAACCGCCTGAATATAACAGCGCGCACTTTTTGCGTCCTCATCCAACATTGGATCGTGACGGCAGAAGCGACCAAGTAGACCATGAATCCCATGAACAACAAAGCACACTCCTAGAACTGCAAGAATTAATAACTGCGGACAGGATTTATTAGTAAAATTTCTAAATTTTTCTTACCGCGACTTTCCCCACGCCGGGTCTGAGAATGGAAGACTGCAGCCTGAGCGCCACAGGGATGATCATAGCAGAATAGACAGTCATCATAGCGGCAACCTCCCACTGAGTTCCGTACCCGAGCGACGGCACTACGAACTCCGTTTTAGTGTGTGCCACCATCAAAAGTATAATAACTGCCTGAAAAAACGTTCCATCCTCGACACTCAAATACATTCCTACAGATATACAACTTACCAGTTCAAACAGCCTGAAGAATACGAGAACCTTGTCTGATTCATAGTAGTTGTTGCTCTCACTTTCAGTCATCTCAAAGGGAAAAAAACCCGGCTATTTTATTCAAGAAGTTAACCTTTTTTCAAATTACGAACAGTCGGACATTAACACCGGCTTCCATATGATTTCATAAAATATATTTACCAAAAGAAAAATTGTTCTATTTATTTCAACTAAAAGCTTTAAAAAAATAAGAATAAAAAGATATGCTTTTTGGGCATAGGTGCTTGGTTTGCGTACGCGTTGCCCAGACGGTAACTGAGTTTTGTAACATAAAAAATTCTATATTTAACGAAAAAAAGTGTGTTTCAAGACTTTGGCGATTGTACTTATCATGTACCACCTCGGCGAAAAACTGGACACAGACGAGTACCCGACAGAATTCCATATGAAGGCCATGACGACCACGTACTCGACGATGATAATTCCGACGACGTTTCGTTTCGAGCTGGATCTATTCGAACTTCAAGACATGGGGATCTTACTTGTATCAATTATTTATCCACTTTGTATTTGTCCATCTGGTTATCTTTTCCTAGTCAAGGATTCTTTTGCAGAACTTATACGTGAACACACTTGGGACTTTGATGTATTTCGGTGCGTGCTTTTTCACCGTTTCCGCCACGGCGGGCCTCTACGTCGTAGAACGGAACGACTACAATATCGCCGAAGATAACAGAAACGACTACGTGATTGTGAAATCAGTCTTGGCTGGTATTTTATGCGTTTTTTATATTCTTGATTCTATCCTGATTTTTATCAGGTGGGTAATGGAGAAAAGAAGGCGAAATTCAAGCTTATCAGATAGCATCGATATGTAGCAATTCATGAAAACAAAAGGATTTGTACGTGCAATTTTGTTTAAATGTATCGAACGCAAGATACATTTAAAATATCCATTGGGATTGAAAATTTAATCAGTGTTTCTAGGGGGTAAGGGAATACTTACTTGTGGTATTCTCAATTTTACTCTAAAATCACATACAAATATATCAACTGCTAATAGGTATAATTTATTGAAATATATAATTAAGAATATGTATTAATTTAATTTATTTATATTAATTTAATTTATTATATATTTTAAAATGAAATCATAACCTCCACTCCCACCGAAAAATCCTATTTCCTCCAAAAATCCGAACAGGCGATCAGAAACTCGCTGCCGTGCTCAAGCACAATTCTCATATCGGGTGGCATTCCGACACGCTCTCTATGTAGAGCCAAGATATTTCACCCTTCGCTCGGGTGGAACACTTAGAGCAAGTACTCTGCATGCGGACTTGGCCCAAAAGTAAGTCCATGTATCAATTTCACTATCCTTAATCGACAGTGCTTTATATAATTGGCGCGAGAGCTTCTATGCCGATCCAGTCATGTTTTTTTATCGCTTTTATTGCATTGTTAGTGTCAGAGGGCCGGATCGCGGTGGTTAAATCGGAAGGTTGGATCGTCCCGGACTTAGTCGCCTCAAAGCCCTTTCATTACCTTCTGGACCTGTACATCTGTCACTTTATCCTCAAGGTTGTTATTTTATCATTATTGTTAATAAATAATATAATAAATATGTTAATTTTATATATTTTTTAAAATATTTTCCGTTCAGAAACATTCGCATTGTAAAGGGTTTTATTTTGACTAAATTTTCATATGTAAAAATATTTCTTTGTTTCTCTTCCAGGACTGTAAATGATGATTTCATCCATCTGAGACCTATTTGTATGCACGAACATGTTCCATGATTTACAACGCAACAGCGACGGCTTTTTTCGGTAAATCATTTCTCACAGAAGATTTTAATCATGTACAGCCAATTATCGCTGATTGTTAATTGCGCTAGGAATTTTATTAAAATACGGTGAGATGAAAGAGATAAAAGGAATACATTTCTTATATTATCAACCTCAATAAAGAGAGAATGAGCCATCTGAGTCGGATAAGCAAAAGTTCACGCAATTCTTTAATCAGATGTTTTCAAGAGGCTGAGATGAGCACGGCTGAGGAACCGATTTTATCAACATTGCCTGGATAGAAAGTGGGCTTGCCTAAACAGTTGCCAGAGGGTTTGTCTTCGTTTTTTAACCGTGTGAAGCAACTGATGCAAACACATCGAACATGATTTATGCAAGGCACGGGTGCGAATCGACTTCTGGCAAATGACTACGCTGATTGTCCTCCCGGAGGTCCATAAATCACGTTACTTCTCAAATCGTCCAATTACTTTTCATTCTTACATGTTTTATTCGACTGGACGTTTTATATTGTTATAGGGTGTGGGTGGATCGATAGTGAGATTTAAGAGTCGTGATATTTAACGGTCATGTAACAACTTTTGACATCTCTCCGGTCAACTTTTCACGAGGGGTGTATGGTAAAGCGATGCTAGGACGTGGGATGACAGAGGTGGTTGTGAATGGTGAAATGTCACGAGGTCATTTCCGAGTGTCACCAGCCCTCTTGGTTACGCCACGATGATCCTTCTACTTGTTCCTTTTGTCCTCTGATTTCGTGTAGGTAAACATACAAAGCCAATTGTGTCACAAAGACGGAGTCTGGTTTATGCTGATTCCCTTTTGAAGAAAATCTTTAATTCAACGAAAACGTCAACACGACAGGATGACTTGTCGTTGAAGAAAACGAGCTTCATCACATTACATTTTGGAAATAAACACCCCAATTAGATAACGAGATTTAAATTTAAATGGTAAAATTGTCATTGTACATTAAGAAAACACAAAATATAACAATTTTTTAAAATTTAAATAATCATCTTGAAGAATTGCCCGTATTTTGTTTTAAACTGCAGCCATTTGAGCGTCTCGGTCTGATTTCAAATGTATACTACGTTGATATCCTAGAATGCTAGCCTCTCGTTTGTACCTCAGGATGTCACATACAGCATAGAAACAAAACATACAATACGTATATATACATCACCACACACATAGATGTCTGGTCACATTCACTGCCCCAGAGTACTCGATACTCCTCGGGGCGGGGTTGAACCCACTCCATTCTCGTTAATAACTCACTTTTACTCTCCAGACGTCATTCACTCACCCCCTAGTACACGATATTCCTCGGGGCGGGGTTATAAGCAATCCCTTCCTTTCACGCTAATAAATTACCATAAATTAACACACACAACCTCGATAGAAACATAGATGTCTGGTCACATTCACTCCCCCAGAGTACTCGATACTCCTCGGGGCGGGGTTGAACCCACTCCATTCTCGTTAATAACTCCTTTTACCCTCCAGACGACATACACTCACCCAATAGTACTCGATATTCCTCGGGGCGGGGTTGAACCCATTCTATTCTCGTTAATAACTCCTTTTACTCTCCAGACGTCATACACTCACCCCCTAGTACTCGATATTCCTCGGGGCGGGGTTATAAGCAATCCCTTCCTTTCACGCTAATAAATTACCATAAATTAACACACACACAACCTCGATAGAAACATAGATGTTTGGTCACATTCACTCCCCCAGAGTACACGATTCTCCTCGGTGCGGGGTTGAACCCACTCCATTCTCGTTAATAACTCACTTTTACTCTCCAGACGTCATACTCTCACCCCCTAGTACTCGATATTCCTCGGGTGTTAAATCACCCCTTCCTTTCATGCTAATAAATTTTATTCATTTCAATAAATTAACATAAAATCAAACTCAGACACAATACAAACACATAAAACTATATACATTAGAAATCCCTAAGCCCTGGGGTACCGGAGCAACGATCTGTGACCGCTGCCGTGCCCCACGACTACGCACAGGTCCGATGATATGCCAAAATATTGTCTATATACATCAAGCCTTCTACAATTGAAAAAGTGCTCGACTTTTATCCTCGCATAATGGGAACCTACGCGGTCGCTTTCCGGCCAGAAGGTGCCCGAGCGTTATTCTTGTATGACCTATGCGTAGTCTTGTCAGTATGGCCTTTTCCCTTTTCGAACCCTTCTCCGTGGACCAGGCACCGACTTCTTCCTTAACCTGCCACAGTTTTCATGTAATAATACAATAATTATACAACATTTTTCATACTTTTCTTTTATATGTTGGACTTATTATTTCGTACTCATTTCTTTATATTATAAAAATTCCTTTTTCTATCCGTTGTCTTTCTAGTCATATGGGAGCATTCTAACCATGTCATTTCTGATTCTACTAGCCCTAATGAAAATTTATAACAAGATCAACAAGATTACACCCCCAATTTTTAACATTAACAAATAATTACAAGATACTTAAACAGTATATTTTTTTAATTTCAATATGGGCTAGGTAAACTGTTGATATTTATTCGATAGCTTCGCTCATGAAAAAATAACCCCAAGTTAAACCTTTTAAAAAGTAAATCTTGTAAAGTGTTCATTTACCGTCAGCGCTATTGTGAAATAGCTTCGATGGCCGGCTTAAATATAACTTCGAAGTTCGTTTTGATCATAATTGATCACCTCAGTTCAATCACTCTCACGGCGGGTCCCATTTAAGGCGATGTTAAGCCGTAACGACTTTGACTAGGCGCAAAAAGCGAGAATAAGCGGTCCGATATTGTATTGAAATTCGTTTTGACACATCTCTGCCTACGCGCAATATGACAGAAATTTCTTTTCAAACTAGCCTCCCAGTAGGGTCTTTAATTGTTTATTATTTTTCATTTTAGACGATGACAAACTATATCCATACCTGTTCTGGGCGAAATGATTATGAAACTTTAGGGAATCACTTCGTAACTACATTTTAATTATGGTAAACAAGACCGTGATGACATTGTAGTTGCTAATGGTTGTTTTATGTTTTAGAAACAGCTACAAGACAAGGCTCATGTTCAAAATAACATCTAATCACACAACATGAAATAACATCTAATCAATTCTGTCTTGAAACAAAACATAGATATGATAACATTTCAAAACCTGTTGCCCTTACATAAATACTTCACTACATCGTATTGAATCGACAAAAGTTAAAAATTTTAGAATAATTGGGTCTATAATAATATAGGGGAAAATTATTAATTTTAAATATTTTTTAAATTCACTAATTTCGTGGTCCGCTTGACCAATTAATACATTACAATTAATTTAAGGTTTTTTAGTTGAGATGAAAAAAAGTTAATGATACGAGCGGGATTCGAACCCACGATCTTCGGCTAGATACGCCGCTGTTCTACCACTTGAGCTATCGTGGACCTCGATCCACTCGGACATCAACTTCCTATCTCAACCCCCTTTAAATATTTTCATGAACTGGTTGTTCGTGCTTGAGACATCTTATCACTTCTTTCCTGAAACAAAACATAGATATGATAACATTTCAAAACCTGCTGCCCTTACATAAATATTTCGACATCGAATTGAAACAACAAAAGTTAGAATTTTTAAGATGACTGGATTTATAGTAATAAAAGAGAAAATATTAAATGTAAAGGTTTTTAAGAATTTTATGCAACTGATTGTTACATGCTTGAGACATTATTATAGAAATATTAGTCTTAAAGGTGGTATTTTTCCTTTTCCATAAGCATATCTTTTATTTGTATTAATTACAACTACCTTAAATTCAGTACAATGTAACACTGAGGCAGGTAATATCAACAAAATTAAAGGCAAAAGTGAAAAAATAACTATTGGTTCGAGAGGGAATATTCCTACCTACTCCCGATTGAAATTACGTTGTTGAAAAATTACATCGTCTATTCAATTTTTATAAACAGATACATCAGATTTGAGGTACATTCATATTTGACGTTGTTAGTCTTATATGTTATACAGGGTAATTCAATACTCGTCAGGTGCTTCTCCGGTTCTCAACCCTTTAGGAGAAATTCAACATTTTATGTTCCAGATTATGTGGAGATCGTGAGATGCCGTCTGGTGTGACGTGGGTTTTGGAAAAACATTTTCTTTATCGTGCCAACGTTTCGAGCTTTATTGAGATCATCTTCAGGGAACAAAGTGTTTGTTTTCTGTGTGTGTCATTATTGTGTCGTGTTGAGATAGAGATTGACTGTCGTTGAATAAAGAAATGTTTTTCTAAAACCTACATCACATCAGACCGCATCTCACGATCTCCACACGATCATTAACTAACGGTCACTAAACATCACACATTTTAGGTTCCCTTCAACTATCTAAGATTTTCGTCGTAAATTTACTCGTAGATCTCTTTTGAACCCATTTTTGAGGAACTCCAAAAAAAGCGTTAAATTTCCTTTATGAATGTACCTTTCTAGAAATTTCAATTTAATTTTTGTTAAAACAACAAACCTGCTAAATTTAAAATTTGTAAAACAATTAAATTCGCAACTTATTTCAAAAATTCAGGGTACGGCTTGGCAAGTTTCAGAAAAACTTCACGGTTTTTTGGGGTTTTTTAGCTACACACCGTTTTCTTTAATTACATTGATTCAAAATGCAAAAATGTTATTATAAAAAGGAAAACGTGGTGACGGTGTGAAAAAGGGGAAATGGGGTCTAGTAATTCAACTGTTTGTCCTGGGAAGAAATTTGTTTCCCAACCTTAATTTGATAAAAAGAAATAAAAATGAAACAAATCACATAAAAAGGAGGCAATAAACATAGCGAATAATCAATGCAAAATAATTGGACAAAAATCTACACTAGACACAGAGAAAAGGCAAAAAAGAACAACTCTACAGAAATTGTAAAACCCAACTTAAACCTATTAAAATATTAAAAAAATAAATAAATAAAAAATTCAACACAATTTTTCTGCTTTCGTTGTTCACTATGTTGTTTATTTTTTATGTTTGATGATTGATTGTTACTTTCACTTTTTAACCCACTCATTCTAAACATTAAAGCTAATAAATATATTTACACTCAATACTGAATAGGGTACACAAACCTATCTCCACTATGTACAATAAAACAAACCTGTATTTTTCAAAAAAATCGGATCAGGGGACAAAGATACACGCTGCCGTGCTCAAGCACAATTCTCATATCTCACGAAGCCAAGGAATTGCACCCTTCAATTAGGTGGGACCCATCAAGCAACCTTTTTCTGCAAGCCGGACATGCGAATTGGGGCCCAAAAGTATCCGTTAACCTCGCATGGCCTATCCTTAATCATGGTTTAGGATGGCTATTTTTCTACAGGTATACTTCAATCTTTCTCATCTTTCTCAACTTTTTCCCATAGATTTGGCCCAAAAGTAAGTGTCCGTGTGGCAACATCGATCTTGCTACCATGAGCCAATGAGTATTCTTCTGCACATCATTTGAAAAATCCACTTAAGAACTGGGCTTTTTTGTCGCTAAGGAAAGTCCGTGTTTGACCTCATTTATTGGTCATGTAATTTTTTACAAGACCTTCCAAACTAAGGTCTATTTGTACTAACCTGTGCTAAACATCTGCCTGGGTTCTGATCTGGCGGTTTGGTGCATTCAACTAAGTTGTCTGGTTGACCTCAAAAATTGACTACCGTGTGAAACTTTCTCAGCTGGCTTCACATCCGGCAACTTGTGGAATTTTTCTTCCCAACGGGAGAATTGCACAATGTTAAAATCCGAGGAAGCAGGGGCACATCTTGTGCTCCAAGAAGAGAAGCAAAAGAGGAGGAAACCCAGTTTACAAAAAGGGTAGGTTTAACCCGTTTTTACAAAATCAGGAAACGGGCACTTTCTCACGACTATTGCCGAGCCACTTCACTCCTTTTAGTTTTGTAGCTATACTCCTCATA